AGTAAATAAACAGACAAATATACTATGTATGGTACGTTTGTAGTTATATTTAAGTAGTGGGCATTACATATTCCGATATGTTAAATCTTATCTTATTAAGGTTCATAAAAATTTAAAGGATAAAGATATTATCTGTTCTAAGTAATATCATATTGGGTGCAGTTGGTTTGGAATTGTTGCAAGAAATCTTAGATATAGGAAATCCTATAATATAATAGCTCGTTAAGATATATAGTTCTTAAACTATATAATAAAACTTTCTTCATATTTATATAATTATATATCCGTTTTGATTATTTTCTCTTGGTAGTAAGACTTAATGTGTTTTATACGAAATCCGCTGCAACTCCTGTAGCCCGGGTTCTACTATAGATACCTACAACGATAAACACACCGAAACACCGAAGTCCTAATAACTATCGTAACACATTACAGAATTACAGACGTGAACTTAGGAAAATGTGTTTAAATTTAGATTCATGTCTCCAGCACTACCACATCATGTCACTCAAGAACACGGCCAGCACTAAATATGATGAGATAGCAACAAAAATTATCATACACGTATGCATTATAATTAAGCCAATGTTGAGTCATCTTATAAATTTAAGCATAGAACATGGTGTTTTTCCAGAGGACTTACAAATAAGATTGAATTGAATGCAAGAGACATGCATTCAATTTAAGGCTTATTATGTACTTATAGATGTTGCCGTGGAAACTGTGCTCCTAAGAAGAGATTAAGTAAGTAGTGTACCTATCTGTCACCGGAAAATAACAAGATCCGTAAGTTTATCAATTTACTAGGAAGTTTATAAACTTTCGAAAGATTCTAAACGGGAGATAAATTGTAATATTTTACGTCCACATTTTTGTAAATTTATCAATTTCCGACGTCATACGGTAAATTTATAAACCAACGAATATCTATTCGTAAGATTTTATATGGTTCGACCAATCACAGAAACTCTTTTAAATATACGATCTCTGAAATACGTACCTAAAATAACACACTGCTCTCTGATTGGTCAATGTTCATAGTGGCAATGCTTGTGTCCATAGACTTGGAATAATCAGACTTGACAAACTATAAATTGGAAGCAACAATGCCTGGTTCCTCTCCATCACGGATGTAGTGAGTTGAATTTTCTATTAACAGTTTCAAAAAGCTATTTAACGTTTGTTTATGTTCCGTGGCCAGCAATGGCGGCTGCGAGGAAGAAGAAGTGACACGTGACAGCCAACCAATCAGATCGCGCGTATTATTTAGTTACTGCTTACCTACTTATTATTTTACGAGTGAGTTCAGTAAGTTTATCATTACCGAAAATGTGGACGTAAAATATTACAATTTATCTCCCGTTTAGAATCTTACGAAAGTGTATAAACTTCCTAGTAAATTGATAAACTTACGCATCTTGTTATTTTCCGGTGACATATCTACCCTTCTATAACCACAACCACGTACCTAAGTAAGGTTTGATGGTTAGACGGAGGTACTTTTTCACATGAAAACTACTGAATGGATACGTCAGATAAAATTTGGTTCAGATATAAATAAAAATGAAAAGGTCTGATCGGTGCGGTCGCACCTCGAAGTAGATGAGCCAGTAACAATGGACCCGTTAACTCAGTTACAAGCTAAGTGAGCTCACTAAACTGTAACTTGATTAACGCACAGGCAGTGTATGTAAGTTGTAACCTGTAAAGTTTGTATTCTTTGCTTTTACATTTTACACAAAACAACTTTCTCAAAGCACCTGACTTAAAAGCTTTTCCAATTCGTTGCTCAATACTTGCACAATAGACCTGCGTATATGCACAATCATTGCAAGCCTGACAAAGCTGTTCGGCCTTCGGCTACCTGCATTGCAGGCCTTTTACGCCATTTCTTTAAGATGGCACATTTTCAAGCGCGCTCGTGTTGGGCTCTATGAAGAATCTCCATCAGTCCTACTTGCTGAAGCGACCGTATTAAAGGCCTAATAATAAGTTGATACAGGAATACCTAACACAATATGTATACCGGTATATGCCTTAGGGTTGCTGGTCAACCGCAATAAGATACCGCTGCCTCGTCTGGAACAGGAGGAGAACAGGGTGGTTATTGTCAGTAAAAGTCTGACCCTCTCGCTTCCCTGGGCTAGGGAAGTGAGTAGATGATTCACCCTCCTTTAAATTAATAATAAACTCTCTGTATAAACGAGATAAGCTATCCCTACCACCCTCAATTACAACAAGAAAAATACTGTTCGGAGTCTAGATGAGACAACATGACAAACGAAACATTAAAAAAAAGTATTACATTTTATCAAAATCTCTATCATGTCTGATTTTGTCTCCAGTCTTGACAACAAAAGCCCCCAAGCAATACTGCCCCGGATATCGAAAACCAATTATTTAGTGGTGTCGTCATCCGTCCCCGTGATGCGATCATTTGAAATCATAACCGATATTATTATTATGATCTACGAGTACATTAGACAGCGCGGCCGAGCGACTCTTGCGCAACTAATTATATCACGAGTCCCTAAACGAATGTTGACGTAAGAAAGAAAGCGATGTCCTTAACCGGAGCTATGCGCATGCGCTCTGAATTGATAACGCCAGTTGTGCCATGAATTGCCACATGGAATTTGGAAATACCGCAATGACAAGAATTTACTCTTTAAATATTTTTTATTCCTTTATTTTTTTTAAATCAAAAGATATCTTTAGGTATATTTTTAAATTCTAAATTAAAATTAAGTACACCTTTTTGGGGTTTTACATAGATTTAACAAAAATATTAATGGCTGGCATTATGGGAAAGGGGAAAAAATATTTCACGCTGGTTTTCTGTGAGTCCGTGGCATCACTCCTGTCGAACCGGCCCAATCGTGCCGAAGCATGCTCAATTGTCATAACTTCACATTAATTTGTGGAAAACTTTAAGCCTGGCAACCCAAACATTGCGTTTGCACCGAAGGAATGCAAGGCACACGTCTGAAATATTTAAATGTACTTATGTAGGTCAAAACTCATATTTAAATGGCTTATATTAAAACAATATAATTCATAGTCTGTTCGTGAGTAATAGACATGAAGTATTTTGAATCGTGCTTCAAAATGTGAAAAGGTTTCAGGTCAACGTGTTCTTGAAATTTTTTATTGAATGTTACCTGCTATTACCTGTTTATACTTGTTTATACCTTATTATATAATAAGGGCCCCCTTACAAGAATAATTTTAAAAACTCCAAATTACCCACAATAAAAGTGAAAACTACCTATGTGTTTCTCAGTTATAAGCAGCCAATCGTGGTAAATCCCTTCCTGATGATGATCCTACTCCTCCTGCTTGTGCATGACATAAAAAAGATAATAATCAAAAATATTGAGATGATAAAAAGTTATCTATCTATATTTATAATAAATCTGTAGAGAGATCAATTCTGTACATTAAATACTTATATTTTCAAAATAACTACCAGGGGTGATCAGTGACCGATACTGATGCCAAAAATGCAATCAGTAAAATTTTTGTCTGTCTGTCTGTTTGTCTGTATGTTCCTTATAGAAACAAAAACTACTCAACAGATATTAACAAAACTTGGTAAAATTATTCTTTATAATCTTAGGCAGGTTTTAGGATCCTTTTCATCACGCTACAAATAATAGGAGCAGAGCAGTGAAGGGAAATGTTGGGAAAACGGGAGAACTTACTCCCTTTTTTAAGTTTCCGTCGCTTGTGTAGCCTTAATGGTTAAAGTTAAATAAATAAAAATATAAAAAATATTCTACGTAAAATTATCTAAAAAATATTTTACAGCATATGTCTATCTTTAATGGTTAACACTCACAATAGCACGTGTAACTCCTGATAGCTTAGCAGTTCAGATAATAAGCCATTCAGTGAACACTGAATCATGTTATAAGGATTATTTTTATGTCACCGTTGCCGCGCTTGACGCGACGCGTTTTATGAAATATTTGTATCTAATATTTACCTATTAGTTAGATCCGTACCATTATATCTATGGACGGACAGACAGAGGAGACTTAGTAAGTAACATGGTATTAACATATTGAAAATGTACACATAAAAATAAGACGACTAATAACAAATTTTATGTATACTTCGATTTTGTTCTATTGCTATAGGCTGCTTTTTATCAACAAAAATAATCTTTATATTATTTATTCTATTTAAAGTGTGGGAGAGCCATGCTTCGGCACGAATGGGTCGGCTCGACCGGAGTGATGCCTCGGCCTCACAGAAAACCGGCGTGAAACAACCACAGCGTTGTGTTTCGCCGTGTGAGTGAGGTTACCGGAGGCCCAATCCTTCCCCACTCCCAACCTCTCCTCAATCCCTAATCCCTAAAAGGTCGGCAACGCACTCGTAACTCCTCCGTTGCGGGTCCATGAGCGGCGCTGATTACTTACCATCAGGTAATCCGTCTGCTCGTTTACCGATCTATTACAAAACAAAAAATTGTTAATAATATTCGATTCTAATTAATTTAATACAACAAATTAAGAGTTCTCGAAATTACATTTTATATGCTTGCTCAATGAGGTTGTATATGCGTAAAGTGCACGCAATTTCAATATATTACGCTAAATTAATATTAGTAGTAACGTAAGTTGTGAATATTCAAAGTGATTTATCTTTCGTTCAGAGCGCCTGATCAAATTATACTAGTTTGTTGTAAGTACTTAACGTTGATATTTCTACAGGCGTTAACTTTACAAACACTTTTGTACAGTTTAAAACGAAATTATAGAAAAAATAAAAACTAAGTACTCAACAATGGGAAATAAAAAAAATTGTAGTTAAAAATAATGCACAGTAAGAATATTAACCACAACTTATTTTGAAACCTATCTTTTGTATCACGCCTGATTATCCGAACGATACGTTCAATTTAACAATATTAATGGCAACATTGTACATGATCATGATGATGATGATGATGAATGGCAACATTACAAAATCAATAATAAACAATGTCAACAATCAAATAGCAACACCACAATTAAATGTCATTATTCACGTCAAAATTGTAAAAATAATGCTTTCGTTCGTTTCACATGGAATTTAGTTTATAAATAAAGATATAAAATAGGCTTTGTCCTAATTAAACAACTATAACTTCCTGTACTAATACTACCCATGTATTAGAACCTATTGTGAAGTGCTAATTTCAGTGAAGAACGAGGTTTGTTTCCTAACAATATTGTGTTCTCAATTCTCTATTCTGTTGCGAATTATTTGTTTGGATCTTGGGAATTGTTATAAAGTAGTTACAAAACATTTTCCTTACTCAATCTTTATTGCTAATTAGTTTTTTCTTTGTGTAGATGTAATATTTCATGTTGAGAAAATAGTTTTTGATTTTGCAGGGTTATTAATCTTAGATCATAATGTCGATGCCACATAGCAGCTCGAGTACGACAAGCTCTAGCACAAAACGCAAAGAAATATACAAGTAAGTAATAAAACCTCCACAATATTCCTAATAACTTATATTAGATAACTGTAAAGTTTGAAAGAGTACCATAATGTGGTCACCATATGAATCAAAGTCCGTGTTTTCATATTGTAATTAGTTTAATGAGTGTATTTTAGTTGATATCCTGTATTTGATAAACAAATATTAATTGAGGCTTCTTAAAATTAACTGGTATGTGATGTTGATTGCTTAAATGTCCCGAACTTGTTACTGTCAATGCTATGTTGGAATTCAACAAAATGTTAAGTTCATGCTATATTACATATTAAAACCAATTCCTATCTTTTACTCACTGATATAATCTGAAAATGAGTCTTGGCAAGAATTATATGAACCCTTTGCTTATAAAAAATGACTGGCAGGCAAAAGATAGTCTACCTTAAACTTTTTTACTGACATTCAACTGGATCTAGTTAAGATTCAATGCTGACAACACATATAAAATAAAGAATCTCAATAACTAATCATATAAGAATAATGCTCTACTTATAATTACAACACTGGGCAAAGGCCTTTAAATCTCTGACACTGAATTCAGTGAACACATTGAAATAGAACTTTCAAAATAAAATTGTTCTCAGGTATCAGGCACCATGGCCACTGTACTCAATGAACTGGTCTGTACGACCTGACAAACGGTTCCGTCTTGCACTCGGTAGCTTTGTTGAAGAGTATAATAACAAGGTAAGTTCTAAAAAACACTAAATCTATACTAATATTATATAGAAGTAAAATTTATAAGTTTTTATGTTTGTATATAGGGGGTAATCTTTGGAACCGCTAGTTGTATTACCAAAATTCTTTCACTGATAGATAGCTACAATATTCCTGAGTGCTAGGCTATAAAAGATCACGCTACGATTAAATGGAGCCGAGCAGCGGGTGAAACCGTGCGAGAGTAGCTAGTTAATAGTAATAACGAGAATGGCTAAGCACTGTCTCTGCACCACTTAGGAACAAAAACTTTCTGAATTCAACTGACTATTGACTACACATCAACCTATTTCTGTCAACAACATATATAATAATGGGGGTATTAACACGAAAAATAATTATTTAAATACCTTGGTTGGCTTGACGTTTCGACCTGGTTGCACAGGTTGTGGTCGCAAGCAGACTGAAGATGCGATGTGAGAGCTACTTAGATTTGGGCGAAAAATGTTCATCTACCCCCTTTTTTTCTTTTTCTACCATATAAGGCCGTCTACACACTACACTGACCGTATCCACAGATGTATTAACCGACTTTAAGGAAATGGAGGTTGTGTTATGCGAATCACTGGATTCCACATAAACGACAATTTAAAGTCGTCCTCCCGATTGAAATTATTTGGGCATTTCTTTATTTCAACTGCATCACGCACAAGTCTTGTATGATAGTGGCGATCAGTGGAGAGAATTTGCAGTCGGTGGAATTCTATCCAGTGATTAGAACCAGCGTGGACCAGGTATTCTGCTATCGCTGTACGAATGGCGCACCTCTGAGATAAATCCACGGCTTTACTACTTAATTACATATTACTATACCAAATCACATCCAAATGATTCTATATACTATTATGATACCTTAATATTTGTTAGCATGTCCAGAAGAAGGCCTTGATAAGACATCTGTAATATCATAATATTGTATTATATCCACAGGTACAAATTATATCTCTAGATGAAGAGACAAGCGAGTTCAGTGCCAAGAGCACATTCGACCATCCATACCCCACCACTAAGATCATGTGGATCCCAGATAGCAAGGGAGTCTACCCTGACCTTTTGGCCACCAGTGGTAAGTCATATTATTATATCAAAATAGGGACTATGGTACTTTAGTTTAAAGAAAAGTCTTGAATGCTAGTAAGCAATCAGCGCCGCCCAATCACATCCGCAACAATAGAGGAGTTACCGGTGCGTTTACGACTATTTGGTCATTAGGGATTTGGAGAATTAGGGATTGGGGGAACAAATGAGAGTACAAATGGTTTGGCGATATGCTTTCTATCTTGTGTTGTAGGTTATTGTAGTTGCGTTTACTTGTGAATAAGATTGACTAAGTAGCGGGTAATTCAGTTTTCAATCAGTACAAGGTTTTGCTTCTTTGGTCAGATAACTTAATAAAATTGGAGACTCAGTTTCCTAAAAGAAAAAAAAACTTAAAAATATTTACTTAAATTCTGTGGCCTAAATTGACATAACAATAAATAACTGAGTGATGTATTAATGGCTTTCTCGTGCATATTATTTCGACGGTACCCTTTTGAGCTTTAACTATTCTAAATCATGACCTAATAGGCTAGGTGATCGTGAGCAACTAAGCCGTAACAAAATTCGATTTATGTACTTCTCTGTATAAACGTGATAATCTACCCCTAACTGACTCCTTTTTTATATATTTGCTTTTTGTTTTACCTTTTGGGATTTAGGGATTGGGGAAGTATTATGCCTCTGATATACTCACTCACACGGCGAAACACTACGCTGTACTTTTTCACGCCGACTCTTTCATGCCCAAGCATGGCTCTCGACCTCTAACCAAAACTTCTTCCAGGGGATTACCTTCGCATCTGGCGTGCTGGGGAGCCATACACTCTCTTCGAATGTGTGCTAAACAACAATAAGAACTCAGATTTCTGTGCCCCGCTGACATCATTTGACTGGAATGAGGTGGATCCTAACCTCATTGGCACGAGCAGCATTGACACAACTTGCACTATATGGGGGCTGGAGACTGGACAGGTGCTCGGCAGAGTAAACGAGGTGTCTGGCCATGTGAAGACACAGCTTATTGCACATGATAAGGTATGGACTATTTATTTATATCCTTTTTTAATTTGAATGGGAGTGGTGAAATATGGATGTTCTGTAAATAAATAAATCTGTTTTTAACATTTTTGAACGATTGTTTCGAGAAGTTTCAATAATGAATAGACAAATAATATAATATAAATATACTTTTTTCTGTTTATTACTATTACTACCCGACTTCGCGCGGGTGCCACGCTGATACAAAATGTCCGCACTATTTAATAGATGTTATTACATGTAAACTTCTATTAATGTGGGGATTGTGGGGTATGATATGAGCATGAGAGAGAAGACGTTTTCGGTGTAAGTGCCAAAAATAAAAAGTTTTCAAGCTGATCCAAAGTTTATTTACGCTCCCACATTAATAAAGCTGCATCAAAATCTGTTGCGTTCTGCGTAGTTTTAAAGATTAAGGATAGGTACACACACAGGGGTAAAGGGACTGAGAAAGCTACTTTGTTTTGTACTATGTCTTTTTTGTCAGTAGAAAATCATAAAATGACTTCTCCCGCCCATGCATGGTAAGCCTGGAGAGAGTGTCAGACTCTTACTGACTAACCCCCCTATGGGATGATAGAAATGTATGGTTTCGGAACTAGGCATTTTAAAATGGCATTTAAAGTTTCTATATGATAAAATAAATTAAATATATGTACTGTATTGTATTGTCCTACAGGAAGTGTACGACATAGCCTTTAGTCGCGCGGGCGGTGGTCGCGACATGTTCGCGTCAGTGGGAGCCGACGGCTCCGTCAGGATGTTCGATCTCAGACATCTTGAACACTCCACCATCATTTATGAGGTAACACATACAAATACATATTTTGATAAGAAGTTCGCGCTTAACACAATCAGTGCCACCGACGCGCCCAGAGTGTCCACGTAAATTTTATTCCATCGCCGTGGACTCGTCTGGGGATTTCAACGTAATATATACGAGAAATTGGCTTCATCTGATATACTTATCATTGTGAAAATCGTAGTAGTCGTGATAGTGTTAATATTTGATTACGGGAATCAAATCAATTTCTTATCCGAAATTAGTATCTACCTATAAGAAAAGAAGATTCAAAACTCAGACTGTGGCTTTCTTATTGCCATTAATTAGCCATTTATAAGTGAAAACTTGTCATTTTCGGTCAGGTTCACATAAAATGTTGGATTTGTAGCTATTCCATAGTTGTTAAATCAATTGTGTAGTTTCCTAGGTCAAAAATAAATTAATCCGACGTTTCAATACAATAAAATAACTATACTTTTATTCATCGATCGATCGATACACTAAGTTTTAGATTTTGTTAGCTAATTATTAACAAACAAGTAAGCTATGACGCAAAAATGTTATGACGTCATAATTCAGCTTTTCACACAAATTTCATAGAAAAGTATCGTTTTTGACGTTTGTATAAAAGTATTGAATTTGACTAGTTCGAAACTACCGTATTGTGAACATGTGCAACAGACGTTACTATCGTATATTTATACGGCACAATATTAACCCTTTTTACCGACAGGATCCACAGCACACCCCCCTCCTGAGACTGGCATGGAACAAGCAGGACCCGAACTACCTGGCCACGGTCGCGATGGATGCCTGCGAGGTGATCATCCTGGATGTCAGGGTCCCCTGCACACCCGTCGCTCGACTCAACAACCATCGCGCCTGCGTCAACGGCATCGCTTGGGCTCCGCATAGGTAAGTTATTCGCATCAGTAGTAGCCTCTTTGTTATTGAGTATACAAAGTACTTGTAAATGGTAAAATGCTTTCAATGTTACACTTCGTATTGTGCTGCCAGAAAGTATACATTTACATTATTTTATTATACAGAAAGTAATTTATTTGAGAGAGTCAAATGAATTACTAACACGATGTTTCCAAATTTTTACAATGACATCAATATCTTTTATTTAAATAGCAAACTGGCAAAACCTCGTCGCTTATTACGTGTAATCAAGAATCCTTTACAGTAAGAATGATAATATAATGAATACACAATTTCTTTATTCCAGCTCATGCCACATATGTACAGCCGGCGACGACCACCAGGCTTTAATATGGGACATTCAACAAATGCCACGAGCCATTGAGGATCCCATCCTTGCATACACGGCAGCCGAGGGAGAAGTCAACCAGATCCAATGGGGTGCCACTCAACCTGACTGGATCGCTATCTGCTACAACCGGCATACTGAGATACTGCGTGTATAAGGTGCAAATGACTTTTGATTATGTACTGGTTTCTGGGACATAGGATAATTAGGGTTGATGAAGAGCATGGCGTTTTTTGTAGTGATTTTTATAACACAAATGATGTATCTTGGACTCCATGAAGCATGAGTTCGGTAAGCATTAGGGAGTTACAAGTTCGACATGAACTACTTCTTGTATGTACTTGATATGTATTTCAATGCCAAATTTAACCTAAATCTGTTCACCAGTTTTTGACTAAAAAGTACTTTCACATACTTTCAAGGTTTCATAATAAAATTCTAATGTTGTAATATTGAATATAAATCGCCACAAAAATGGTCATGAAGATAATTTCTGTATTTCCTTGTGCCAGAAACCAATATGTTCTCAGTAACTTGCAGTTTGATCAGTTTCTACCGAAGTAGTACCTACCACCACTTAAATGGGAATGATATCTTTGTGAAAAGGAAACATCTTACTTAGTTTGCAATGGAAAGATAATGAGTAGTTTTTGTCAACAAAAATGCAAGCTTGAAAAAGTATCTTTTCTATATACCTAATATCAACCCTTTCTTCCATCTTTGCTTTTTCAAATATTTGTGCACACAAAGTGATGCCATGTGCAATTTCGACTCGACCTATCTTAAATTTTTGCGGCTGGAAAAACATGTCCGATATTGTTGTCACTATCTACCTTGACTATGGTCGTCATTCCCATATATTTCCAACTCCGCGTGTCTGTGGTACACTGTCATTTATTGTGGGCGATAACTTCACTTGGCTATATTCCTAACGATACTTTGAATGTACGAACATGGGTCCTAAGTCTATGATATATCACAGAACCTAAAATTGTGGAAACCTGCTTCTGTGTTTACAGAATATTACAATTGGACCATGCCAAATGGTTTTTGAAAATCATGAGACAACTTTGAAAGTCGGTTTATAAGAGGTAATTTGATTGACGTCGACTGATGATTGGATATAGGTAATAATAATAATTACTTAGCTATGAAGTATTGTATTTTAACCGACTTTCTCTGTAGAACTTACAAATATATTAAGTATATTAGAAGTGACGGTAAATTTTGATCGACCGTTGTAAGATCGTGACCCTAATAATTGAATGTTATCTCTTTATCAAAAGACTGAAGGAAAAAATTAACATTTCTAAATTTTACGACGTAACAGATTTTATTTAAGAATCATTGAAAAATATGGATAAAAATAAAAATGTATTTGTATTTCTGGAAGACAAATATTAATAAGATTTTTACATTTCGCCAGCTCTGCTTTTGAAAGGCTTTCTTCCAGGGATATAAATGCATTATTTGTATCTTTTTTATTTACAATCGTAAATTGTGTAGCTAGGAGGAGGAGGAAATCATTTTAAAACCTATTTAATTTATATCCAAATTAATATTAATATTTTATTTTATTGTCTTCTATAACCTGCTAATCAGGTAGCATAAGATTGGGATCCCCTAGCTCCACATTATTTTATTTCCGTTCTCATTTTCTCTTGAAGGTGGAAATCAACCTTTATCTACGAGCAAATAGGGCCTAATATGATACGTATTTACCAAAAGCCCTATTCAATGTAGAGAAATCTTTTATGTAAAAAATAACTTTTTTATATGTAGACATTAAGTATTCTTACAAAAAATGCATTAATAATATACCTAAGCATTCGCCGGTAAAACGGGGAAAATAGAATTCGAGGGGTGAATAGACACTCGGAAAATTCACCCCTTAAAATCTATTCGCCCCGTTTTGCTACGGTAGTTGAAGATTCGTAATTTGAGCGACAATAAGCGCTGCGTACTTAATTATTGATTTTAGTACGTGTGTCATCATAAACACAATCTGTATTAGTTGAATAGAAACCATAGTGTAAACTTGCATTTATGTAACTGCTAAACATTTGGCGTAGCTAATGTAAGATGCATCAATTTATGGAAAGTTTGGTATGGATCACATCGCACATTATTAGGCCAATAACCCGTAACCCGGGATGAAATAACTATGAACCTCCTCTAAAGATGAGGAGTTTTCCATAATCCCAAGCTGCAAGGTGTAGGTCAGAATGTAAGGGCATAATATTATTGTAACATATTTTTTTATTTCTTTTAAATTCCTATACGCCTAAATCAAAGTAACAAAGATATTATAAGAAATTTTTTTGGTGAGTTGTTGCAAATTTTATTAGCTACGCCAATATTTGGTGACCTGACAAAACCCATTGTGCTGTATCCTGTGTGTGTAGGATTGTTCTTGTATGTATTATATTTATGTATTGTTCTTATTTGTAGCGTCTGGTATTTTTGACTCAAGTCAAATTCATGGACAGATAATAATGAGTAATAAAATATGTTAATGAATATTCTATGACTGTCCTGATTAGCGAAAAAACATTGAGTATATTGGGTTAACATATCGAATCAAACAACAATTTCTTCAAAAATAACTTTCATCTTCAAACTTTAAATAAAATACATCTTTTTCATTAAATGCCAGTAGTGAGCAATTGTTATATTTTATCCAAAAACAGATATCGAAATAAAACATGTATTATTAATGTTGATGTGATTAAAATAAGGACTAGATTTAATATTTAATTTATACAAATAGCTGTAAGTATTCTTATTAAATAAATGATTTAGAAATTAAGGCACTTCTTTTTTGTTATACTTAAAGTATAAAATGCACACATCACACTTGCAAAGCCTAAAATTATTAGCTTTTCAGAGTAAAATTCACTCATCCCGATTTCTGGCCCAAGGCAAATTCTTGATAAACCTTCAAAAGAGACTCAGGGGTTCTTGGCTTAAAATCTTTAAGCACATGCTCAAAATGCTCCATAGTCACTTCTGGGCAATCCAGATCTTTCTCTAGCGCTCTCAGAGCAGCTTCATGACACAGAGCTTGCAGTTCTGCCCCTGAGAACCCTTCTGTCTTAATAGCCAACACGTGAGAATTGACATCATCACTTACACTCATTTTACTAAGTTTTAACTCTATTATTTGTAATCTGGTCTCGAAGTCTGGAAGGGGAACGTAAATCAAACGGTCCAGACGACCTGGTCTAAGGAGTGCTCTGTCCATTCTGTCAGGACGATTAGTTGCTGCTAATATTGTAACAGAGTTCAACGGCACAACACCATCCAACTCTGTCAGTAGTTGAGCTAAAACTCTTTCGTGAACACCAGCTTCGCCCGCTCCTCTTTCGCCTCCGATAGCATCCATTTCGTCAAAAAATATAATGGATGGCGCAACCTGACGAGCTTTAGTAAACAAGTCTCTGACAGCTCTCTCGGATTCGCCAACCCATTTTGAAAATAGTTCTGGACCTTTTATAGAGAGGAAGTTCAGACCGCTCTCAGTAGCTAAAGCTTTGGCTATCATTGTCTTCGAACAGCCAGGTGGTCCATACAGTAGAACCCCACCTGGAGGCCGAACACCAAGTCTTCGAAAACTTTCAGCATGTTTCAATGGCCATTCCACAGCTTGTCGTAACTTGAGCTTCAAGTCGTCTTGCCCGCCTATATCTGACCACCTAACATTAGGTATTTCAATTAGCAGCTCTCTCATAGCACTGGGCCTGACGATGGTCAGTGCTGCAATCAAATCATCGCGCGCAACGATATCACTTGACCGTTTTATACATTTCATAGTTGCTTGCGTGCAGAGATTGACCAAATCTGCAGCCACATAGCCATGTGCCAAGTCTGCAATATTCTCAAGATCTTCAGAAGATATTTTGTTGGGGAGATGTTTTAGTAAACTGTAAACTATTTCTTTCCTTCTTATTCTGTCTGGTACAGGAATTTCTATCTCTTTATCCAATCTTCCAAAACGTCTGAGCATAGGATCAATGTTTTCTGGTTTTCTTGTTGTTGCTAGTACAAAAACTCTGCTGTTTTCAGCATGTAGATTGTCAAGCATATTTACAAAAGCTGAGGTAATTCGCCTTTCTTGCTCTGTGCTGCCTGAAGATCTTTTAGGGCATATAGTTTCTATTTCATCAACTAATATAATACTGGGTTGGTTCTGCATGGCTTTTTCAAAAAGACTTCTCATTGTCCCTTCAGTTTCTCCAAAATATTTACTAAATATGGCTGGACCATTGATTTCTATATGGAAGCAGTTGAGATTTTCTATTAAGTATTTGCATATAGCTGTCTTACCAATTCCTGAATGACCATATAGTAACAAGCCCCTTGTGGGCTGGAAGCTTGCTGCAAGGCCATCCATATTGAAAGATATTTTAATAAAAGTTTTAATTTCTACTAAAATATCATCAACACCTCCCAAAGTTTGTGACTTTTTCTTAGGTTTAGGAGTACTTTCTTTGTGCATACTCCAAGTACTATTTTCAGTTAAAACAAACCAACCCTTGTGATCTAGTTTATCAGATTTTATATCAAGGACCTCAATTTCTAGTTTTTTACCAAAATAGTAGTAAACTAAAATGCTTCCAATACAAACAAAATTACTGTAAAAATGTTGTTTCAAAATATCACAAATATCTGATTCTGTTTTATGGTTGTTGAGTTTGACTGTAATATGGGACACCTTTGGTATATCCTCCTGAACCACAGAAACTGTTACTTTCATGCTGTCACTGCTCCAAGCACTGCATAGGTCTGCAAAGAAAATAACACACATTTAATTGTTATTATCATTTAATTGTTGTTATTATTAAAATTATTTTTTATCAGTCTAACTGTGACATGTTTCATCGGTTTAGTTGGTTAACCAAAGGTAAACCATCTTTGTATCTGTCTTTTTATATTAAATAGGTTTTATAAAATATATACAAAGACTATTCAAATTTAGTTGATTGGCTAACATTGATTTTAGTAAATACCTTGATTGTTAACATTTTTACATACAGTTCTAAGACTTCTTTTAGATAAATAGACATATTAGTTTTACTAAATATTTAGTTAATTACTTAAAACTGATGTGCCATACTTTAAAGTTATTTCATATTGAAGCTTCTGCCTCTGTTATACTTGTCTTCAGTCACCATAAAACGATCAGTGAGTAGCCTTAGGGGCGGATTTAAATGATTCTGAGTATCAAAATCTAAAGACTATCAAAGTTGAGTGTGACCTGTCTGGATATGTTCTAAACACTTTAAAATTATAAATATAACATTGTTAGTTTAAAGGCGACTTTTACTCACCAGCTGCTGGTAGTATAACAGCGGCTGGAGCAGATGCTTTGGATGGCCACATCCGCTTCACCATCATAGGAGCGCCTTCTCTGCTTAATTGCAGAGGGCATCCAATTACCGCCCCAATTAGTGTTCCCGCGGACGGATGCACGAGCACAGCATCCCGAGGTGCACCATCAGGAGCTACTCCTGTCCTCTGAAGCCAGGTAAACAATTTTCCATCCTCAACGTAAGGACATTTTAATTGATCTTTTCCACAGTTTAATTCGACGTGCATACTTTTATCGTTTGAAGTTATGCTACAACCACATCGCTCGCAATCGACCCATAACGTTTTCTTTGGCCCTTTCGGAGGCATGTCTACACAAAATTACAAATAAAATGTTTTAAAATACGGCTTTATGCAATTGGTAAATATCACACTTTAAAAGTAAGGTTATATTTATTTGTCATATTGTTTTATCAAGTTCAAAGTTACCTATTATCTGTGAATAAAACGCTGTAAATATATTTATAAAAAACTATTCTATCGATAAAATTTTTAGAAACAAACTGTAAACATAAAAAATAATCACTACTATTTTGTTTTCAATTACGGATACCTACGTAAAATCAAAAACTATTTATTTCAAATAAAGTCCACTTATAGGTAACGGAACGTATATATATTATTTAACGTCATTAACGTCATACTGACAAATGACAAATTGTTTCTGCATCTGTCTGTGATTCATGATTTGTTTCATTTTTCTAGCAAAACATAATTTATTCATTTCAAATGTTCTTTATTTAGTTAGTTGTTTCTAGTTAATCCAGTGCCTACAGTGAACAGTTATTAACTGGTTTAAGTTAGGCTTAGAATACTGAAACTAAAAAGTATCTGCCAGAATGACTCTCGCAGAATTCTTCAGTTGCTCTCTTCTTGCTTTTGGAGCTCCGTTGGTGATGTTTGCGTTCACGGTGGCCAATGACCCTGTCCGCATCATCATCATGATAGCAGCAGCATTTGGGTGGCTGCTATCGTTTTTACTCTCGTCTTTAGTGTGGTATGCAGTGGTGCCATTACGATCATATCTGGCGTTTGGGATGGTCTTTGCCATAATTTTCCAGGTTAGTAGCTATTATTATTACATTTTATAATGAAAAGTAACTAAATTTATAACAACCATATATGGGTAAGGACATTCACTAACCTAGCTGCTGTACAATAAGACATATGACGACTTATTTTAATTAATTTAGGTTTTGTAAAAGGCCTTAATTTATGCCGCATTATAGTGTAGTTGCAACAACTTACGCGATTTGATACGTTTGCTGCTGCAACCCAGGACTTCGCATTTGATAGGCTATAATCTCATATAGATAGAAAGAAAATTTGTTGTTTATTTTTTTTTTGGTATCTTTTTTTTATTGTTGTATTATAATTATTTCTTATTATTGTACATATCTTTGCAATATTTTTTTTCTTATTGTTCATGCCAAATAAATTATTTTTCTTTCTTTCTAAAATAGGTAGATTCATATGATAAGTTAGCTATCACCTTAAAGTTATTTAATTTAAGCCTCAGGGTCTTGTTATTGTATTGTGTGGTAGAACATGGTGGACATAGGTAATTACAATTCTCATGCAATTATAATTTGATTGTTGAGTAAATATACATGAATATACATTATACATCGACCAGTACTGGTGCTGTGAAAAGTTTATAATAAAAATACTGCAATTTTGATAGTAAAACAGAGAAAGTAGAAACCAAATGTCTTTGTATTTAATTGTCCTGAAACTATATTTACTCATTTATAAAATAAGAACATAATCTCAAGCATTCACTTAATTAAGTTTCATTAATATTAATATAATAATTTATTGTATATAATCTAATGTTAACAATATTATGAAACAACTTTTTCAGGAAATATTCCGATATGGCATGTATATCCTTCTGAGAAAAACAGAAGCAGGGCTGAAAGAGATTTCAGAGAATCACAACATTGGCAGCAATAAACTAGAGATGGCATATGTGTCTGGCCTGGGCTTTGGCACTATGAGCGGAGCCTTTGCCCTCATTAATGTTCTAGCTGATTCTGTAAGTAGTTGTATTATAAATCTTCATAAAATCTAGCCAGATCAATCCAGAAATGGTCTACATAGACAGTTTTAACATAAGAGTTTATATTTCCCGCATTACGAAAGTGATTCTGATACCATATTTATGCACCACAAGCTCGGTAGATACATTCAATTTAAAATTTAATAAAATAATTAATGCCCGAAAATTTCAAAATATTTTATCAAAACTAAGTTCCATATTATACAATTATTCTCATTTTATATAGTAAGTATTGTCAAATGTACAAAATAAATTGAAAATCATGTGAATTTATTTATTGAGAAAAGCTTAACTAGTTTCAAGTGACAATGGGGCTCTCATTTATGATCAGTGTGCATAGTGGTCATTAATCCATACAACAGGTTTTTTGTAAATAAAACATTCCTTTTAAATTTCAGGTTGGTCCAGGAACTTTAGGCCTCCACACTGGCACGGAGTACTTCTTCGTGACGAGCGCCGCCATGACACTTTGTATGATATTACTTAACACGTTCTGGAGTGTTATATTCTTCAGTGGCTTTGATGACAAGAACTACGTAAAAGTCGGATGGGTCGTAGTGTCACATTTCTTTGTATCCGGGCTCAGTCTTTTGAACAGTAAGGAGTTATATGCAGCTACAATCTTGCCTTCATACATAGTTTTAGCTATCACAGCCTATATTGCCTTCAGAACAGCTGGTGGCTCAGCCAGGAGTCTAATGCAAAGTATTTCCTCCAGGTCATAGAACTAAGACATTCACAATTCATCATTCATACATGAAGAATTTACTAGACTGCGCTGGAAAAAATTATATAATACAGGGATTGTTTTCATTGACAGATGCATTTAGAACACAGATTTGATTTGATAAGCGCATATGCTTGAACAGAACACTATGACCCTTATATTATAGGACCTCAGTTACATGTTATACATTATTTTGAACTTATTAAAAAAGTTTAATGTTTGACTGAAGTCCTGTAAAGTTGGGCTTCAAGTTTATAGATTCCTAGTTGACTTGTTGTTCCTCACCATTCACTTAGATTAGGCCTTGAACTAGTAATTACATTTTCTAGTTAGATCAAATGAATCCCAATTCCAGAATAGCTAGAAAATATATAAATTTCTTAGTATATTAGAAGTTTGTATTAGCAAGCAGCTAGGTACTAGACGCTAAAATAGATTTTTTTAGAAGGTGGGTTAATAAATATTTGTATTTTGACGAAAATATTTGCCATGACGTACCTTATCGTACAGTTTTACGTCATTCAAAAGAATGGCCCTGAGATACAAGAATTAATGTAACATTAGATGTAGGTTGCAAGAGAGAGCGAGTTCGTAAATTATGCTTATACTAAACTCATTTAATTATTTTATCGCCTCGCTGATCAAGTGTCCCACAAAAATATATGTCGGGCTTACCGCTTGAGCCCATTAAAACAGTTTAACTAAGATATTGACTTCAGGTTTTGTTTATGTCTTGTCTTTCTTTTTTTAGTACCTAGTTAAACTAATGTAGCTCTCAAAAAAGTACAGTCAACATGAAAAGCTCACAGATTTTGAAGTCAGATTTAAAATAATTGAGGATATAAAACTTTATTTCGAATTTTAAACGAGATATGTATTTAACGTGTACTTGAAATTGTTGGTCAAAGTAGCATTATGATTCTAAGTACCTATGCGAAATGTAATGTATGGACTGACATCTCCTTAGCAATACATTTAGTGTAAGTGGACGCGTCGTGTTTGTTACTAAAAACTTGAAATACCTACTTTTGAAAATATTGATTGGAGTCAGTAAGGTAATGAGTTTGTAAGAAGGGACTGCAAAAAGAAAAGCTATGTATAAATCTGCCTTCACTGACAGCAGAAGCCGTGTTACCCCTAAGCTTGACAAGTGCCTAAAGCGCTAGTTTGCGGAGTGGCACCATAAGGCGTGCCTGCCCTTAGGCGGAGGCCGGGCTCGGAAGTGTATATATAAAGTGAATACATTAACCGATAAAAATACGATCTAAGACGTATTCTACCCAATATTGTTAAGCTATCGGTAAAATTGTAAAAATATATTTATATGAGAAAAAACTCAAATAAATATTTAACAATAAAAATATCGGGGTGTAAATAATGGTTGATTCACTGTTTATATTGTTTAATGCTCATAAAATATTTTTTAATAATGTAAGTAGTAGGTACACACGTTAAACGAAACCAGATAACTAATGCGGAATTTAATGTACAACCATAACAAAAACAATGATTTCAAATTGTAATTATTTATTTTTTTATTAATAAGTGAGAACAATCATTCCTTAGTCTATTTATAAATAACTGGACGGCGAATTTGTTACGATAACTGTTATTATAGCACAGTATTTAATAATAGTAATAATACAATTAAAAGTTTTTACAAATAAAACTGAGAACTATATTTTTTCTTTCCCTATTAAAACTTCTGTTTTCTTCCACAGTACTAAGAGTCTTACTTCTACTTATTTTGGGGTTGATTCCTTGTATTTTAATTTAATCTATTAGAACTTTGCAAAAAATCTACCTTTATAAATAACATAAGTACTTATCTTAAAATACATTAATTTCTTACAGAAGATAACAAAAAGTTTTTATTTATATTCTAAGTAATCTAATTTGACAATTTTCGAATTAATTTTAAGCTTTTCAAGTCATAAAGATCTTATGCTGGCTTCTTACCACCTAACACCACATCAATGTTAAATTCTTAATATTGTTTTCTCAAATTATCCAAAATTGTTTCTGTACTCCCAGTATCTAAAAAGTAATAACAATCACGCTAGCTGATGGGTTTAATTTCTTACTAGTTAAAGAGGTACAAGTAGAGAGAGAAAGGGTATTCTCAAAGTTTTCAAATTTAAAAAATGTAATTTCAATATAATGGTAAAATATACCATTATATTGAAATTACATGCCCCTATTAAATATAACTTATATAAATTAGTTGCATAAAACATATTGAGAATTTTTTGCCATAATAAATACCTTACAAGATAATTATTATTCATCATAATCATAATAAATACATTATTATAATTAAAGAAATACGTAAGTACCTCAAATCAATCCTATTCCTGACTTTCTTCAGCCAGTTCCTGCAGCAAAGAGTCCACAGTCCATACAGTATCAGCAGAATCCATCTCTTCTTGAGGTATGTATGAGTTTAGTACTTCTAATACAGCTTCAATGCTACCAGCAGCTCCTGATATTCCACCTCCAACTTCCGAAAGAGTGTTCACGGTTTCTGTGTCTTTTTGATCGGAGCTGATAAATGGAAAAGAGATAAATAGGGCTGGTCATAATTTGTATTTTCTGAATTGTATTGTTTATCACCAACTTTTCAAATATAAAGGTGAAAATTACATGAATAAACATTCTCATTTACAAATATTGTTCCTTTTGCTATGAAGTAGACTTATAACTACCATTAGCACTACTTACTACGAAATTATATTACTTATAAGTTTAGAATATTATGTACTTAATAGAATAGTGATACGATGCAGTATTACTACTATCCTCAGAATACAGAGTTTGTTCTGTATTCTGAGCTACTATCATAGAATACCGCTGTACTAACTTACACTGGGGGCGTAGTTATTTCTTTCTCCAAGATATCTTGCAAGTCATCCAGGTCTGGTATAGTTGGTATGTCATCACTAGAATCTGGTGACTTCTTGGGTATAACAAACTCTCTAAAACAAATAGTTTTATTCAAATTACATTGTCCATCACTTTCAAGTAAATGTTAAAAAAATAATAGAATAATTTGTTACTTCGCTTCGATGTGAGTGCCTTCAGCCCAAACGCCTACTTTTTTTGGCTCCGGCACACTTGCGTTTATTTCATTCATTGTTAAATTAAATTTCAGTTTATAACACTGCTATGCCTTGTTTTTTTTGTTTACGTTATTTTGTGAGTTTCTTCGCAGATTACGAGTGCATAAACACAATTTTGAACTTAGCTAGTATGTTCCGTCTCAGTTGTTCTACTCTTTCATCTATCTCTATCTCATATTGCAATGCTTAAAATGTTAAAATCACGTCACTTTGTGTCGGTGCCATGGCAACATGATTACAATGGCATTTGACAATTGGTTATTAGTGTTACAAGCTTATAGGTAATTTAAGGTCAAAAGTATTTATTTCTGTTATTTTTTATTTATATTTCATTTAATTGGTGTTATTAGGTAGGCAGGTCACATAACTAATATTTTTTTTTTATTTCTTTTACAATCTTATTATTGTTGTATAAGTTGCTATTTTCGATATCGCATCGAAAGCATAAAACAAGGGGATACCTATTTATTCGTGCAGGTTACTACATATAGATCTATTACCATAGCACTTTTTGTAAACAGCGACGAAGTTTCAAACTGCTTGTCAATTCCTGCTAAATTAGTGCCAAGGAAAGAATCAAAACAAAATCTTTGTACTATTCAATTTTATTATAACTTATAAAAAATATACCTATGTATAATAAGCCATCAAATAAAAATGTTGTAACATCTAGCATATTAGAACTAAGTTACTTAAGTATAGATAATATTCAAAGCAGATGTAGTTTGAGGTAGGTAGGTATATTGAACGAAAAGCGTATGAAATCTTAATTCAAAGTCTTTGCATTTTTAATACTTATGTAACTCTACGAATGTTTAACAAAACTTTGATGCTACCTTTGGTAAACGTAGGAACTTATACCGAAACACTTAGATCTAATACTAGTAGATAATTAATTGATACATGTGGGGACAGATCATATAGTAATGCTGTTATAAGTACCGGAACTATTGGTATGTACTGCGATGTCCAAACTTTCAGCTTAATGTGGAGTTTGCTAATCGATCTAATGCAGAGACTGCAGTTGTTGTATGTATACATTTGTATCTACATCTAAACCAATAAAGAGACAGGTACTGGTGACTTCTTCACGTTATTGAATTAAAGAATTTTACCGAATACAAATCAATTTTTGAATAGTAACTATCGTGAGACATACTAAAATTGAAAATAACTAGTTATTAACCCACGTGAATCAACTGAGCTGTAAAGCTCTACTAGTTTAAAGTCACAACGAAAGCGCTTTTCTCAGTTGATTCACATGAGTAAGTTGTTTGTTAAAAAAACAAATTAAGGTAGGTACCTACTTAAGTATAATATCAATATGTTTCTTTCTGCTTGGGTATCTGGCATCAGGTACAGGTGAAAGTTTATTAGGTACAGGTGTTTGTAAATAAACTTTATATAAATTGAACACTTCATAACCACATCATAAATACTTAGTTCTCTTTCTTCTTGATCAACGTTAGACTTAGGTACCTAAATAATTTTATAATTTATGGTTACACCCTCGGGGTGAACATTGGTTGTTGTCACAATAACAGTGGAATAAAATTTTTATTATAACTTTCATGAGACCTTCTAAATTAATTATTATGTTTTCGGCTTACTCAGCCATGCTAGAGGCCCATATTCATTGGGCCTCTAGCATGGCTTGAAACTAGTCGAGTATCTCGTCAAATTATTACGTGAGTAAGCCGAAAACATAATAATTAAAGTGGAATGTAAGGTTGAAAACACCTGTAAGCCTATCATGAAGTGTTAAAGCGTGAATCTTCCGGGCGAGAAAGGGAGATGGAGGTATAAAAGGTGTATAGCTCCTACACGTCATGGTAGGCCCCCGGATCACCGCCATGGGATCTGGAAGCGAAGGCGCTCGCGCGCGTCTACAGTTTGCGCGCAGACGCGCGTCGCCGGGGCGAGGATCCTCTGCCGCGCCAAATTAGTGCGTGGCGGAATGAGCTCCAGCGAGATCTCATGGCTGAGTGGAAGCAGCGACTGTCGCAACCGAGGGCCGGGCACGCTACTATAGCAGCGGTAAGACCCCTCTTTGAGAAATGGCTTGAGAGACGCCACGGCGTCCTCACCTTCCGCCTGACGCAGGTGCTTACCTACCGGGCACGGCAGCTTTGGTAGGTTCCTGTTTCGGATCCAGCGGGAGGAAACGCCCGAGTGTCGTCATTGTGAGGATCACCTGGAGGACACGGTGGAGCATACGGTGGCGGAGTGCCCTGATTGGGCTGAGCACCGCCGTGTTCTCAGGGAAGTGATCGGCGGCGGCGACCTCTCGCGCCCGGCCTTAATCGAGGCCATGGTGCAGCGTGAGAGGAACTGGGAAGCTATCTCCTCCTTCTGCGAAGCAGTTATGCTCGCAAAGGAGGAGGCGGAGCGCGTGAGGGAACTATCCTCCTCGCGCCCCAGCCGCCGCAGAAGGCGACATTCCGGACGTCGGGGATCGAGAGATGATCTCCGGCCACCGTAAGCGCGGGTCTGCGGACGGCGAGTAAGGGATGTACGTCAGGCTGGCCCGGCCCCATGGAATTTAATAATGAGATTGTTATCAATCCAATGTACCCGAGTATACATAACATAGCTTATGGTTATATTGCATATATGTAATATATGTAACACCTTCATTTTCAATGTAACTCTTTTTAAAAGAAATTACGTGCACTTCTTAGTGGCCGGGCCAGCCTGACGTTTTCAGCCCGGCCACCTTGTTTCCCACTAATCTACAAAAAATACTGGCAATATTGTGCTACAGATGAAATGTACCCTATAATTTATGCATACGTAACACAAAATCGAATCCTAAAATGCAATAGCATACGAAATATTAGCGGTTGCAGGTGGCCGGGCTGAAATTATTTCGTTACTATAAAACAGTAAAACTGCAACACCTACCAAAAAATAATACCAGTACATAATGAGATATAGAGATATAGAATACATGTAACGCTTTCATTTTAAATTATAATACATATTTAGAAAGAATAATCACTTGAAATTATATTTCAGCCCGGCCACCTAAAAGCGGTAACATTCCCTAAAATCTTATGCTAATTTGTACAGTAAAACCTGATACAGCTATGAAATGAAAGTTACATTCGTTTCGTTTTAGTCGTATACCTTTAAGCCTTCTGTTTGACTAGATTATCAAAATCTGAGAAACTTGCCGAAGAGTGACTATCATTTATTAACTAATTTCAGGACATTTGGTTTGTTGAGTGAAACAAAATGCGTTACTATGATATTTTTATTAATAAACTAAGTAGTATAAATCACACATAATAATAAAAAATTTGTTTGAACAAATGATTTTAAATCAACACACACATTTTTTCAAACAAACAAATTTGCGACATTGCATTCACAATTTATATCTATTGTATTTTTCGAGGATAGTTTGTAGTACTTTTTACATATGGTATTTCTTAGTTCGTATACTGCGGCTTCAGATATGTTTTTGTTACCTATAAATTGTATATAATTACATAACATATTATTATTATTTTCAGTCTGATCTATTTCTAATTTAAAGTTATTAAATGCAATATAACCATAAGCTATTAAATATGTAACAGCATCAAAACCACATGTATTTGTTAAAGTGGAACCAGTTACAATATTTCAATTTTTTATAAATTTTAACATTTTATAAATCGGTACGGTAACTGGCTCTTCAGCTTGTCCTTTCCAATTTTCTACAAAACTTGGCATATCACTGAAAATATAATCTTGAGGAAATAACCGTTTTTGGTGTGTTCTTTTTTCGCATCTATTCTGTCTACTCGGGGAAAATATCTTACGACTTAGGTTGGGACGCGACACAGGCGCCGTCTAAAAATCGGTGGTAGCGTCTGTGAATATTATCTTTGTATGGTTATGTTGTGAAGCCAAAAACGGAGAAAATATATATAGGTTTAGGTATTATGTATCCAACAATTATTATGTGTGATTTATACTACTTAGTTTATTAATAAAAATATCATAGTAACGCATTTTGTTTCACTCAACAAACCAAATGTCCTGAAATTAGTTAATAAATGATAGTCACTCTTCGGCAAGTTTCTCAGATTTTGATAATCTAGTCAAACAGAAGGCTTAAAGGTATACGACTAAAACGAAACGAATGTAACTTTCATTTCATAGCTGTATCAGGTTTTACTGTACAAATTAGCATAAGATTTTAGGGAATGTTACCGCTTTTAGGTGGCCGGGCTGAAATATAATTTCAAGTGATTATTCTTTCTAAATATGTATTATAATTTAAAATGAAAGCGTTACATGTATTCTATATCTCTATATCTCATTATGTACTGGTATTATTTTTTGGTAGGTGTTGCAGTTTTACTGTTTTATAGTAACGAAATAATTTCAGCCCGGCCACCTGCAACCGCTAATATTTCGTATGCTATTGCATTTTAGGATTCGATTTTGTGTTACGTATGCATAAATTATAGGGTACATTTCATCTGTAGCACAATATTGCCAGTATTTTTTGTAGATTAGTGGGAAACAAGGTGGCCGGGCTGAAAACGTCAGGCTGGCCCGGCCACTAAGAAGTGCACGTAATTTCTTTTAAAAAGAGTTACATTGAAAATGAAGGTGTTACATATATTACATATATGCAATATAACCATAAGCTATGTTATGTATACTCGGGTACATTGGATTGATAACAATCTCATTATTAAATTCCATGGGGCCGGGCCAGCCTGACGTACATAGTAAGGGTAGCTCGCCGCCCGACCAGAACCGGACCCGAGCGTACGGCGCGTAGCCTTCCGCGCGCGCCTCAAAGAGCCAATAGACCACCACAGTCGGGGCCCTAAAGGGCTGATGTTTAGCCGGGGCTGCGGGGTAAGCGCAATGAGGCACCGCGACCTCGGCCCAGAGCAGGAGAAGGAACGGGGGGGTTTTTAGTCAGTAAGAGTCTGACACTCTCTCTCGCCTTACCCTGGGCGGGAGAAGTCATTGGATGGTTTTCCCCTGACAAAAAAAAAGGGCCTACAGGTGTTTTCAACCTTTCATTCCACTGTTATTGACTTCACTGATGTGTTTTCTTGACGAGCGATATGGTCAAAGTACGCAAATGAAAATACAACAAATCACACTAAAAAACAGACGCTGTTTTTGGAGAAGAGTTGGAAAATTTGTTGTTTAGTTCGGGTTTGTACACCGTAAAGAACTTCTGATGTTTTTGTTTCTCCAATTAAGTATTCTTGAACCGATCCATGGTGGATTTAGTGATGGCTATACCTGGACGTTTAATTTTTTCATGTTATATTTTGCCCAATAGGGGTTTTATTTCGTCAATGTTAGACTCCGGATGGGGTCATCTATGTAATTGTACTGTCTGTAGCTTCCGGTTCGACATGACTAAGTAGTGATCTATTGTTTTTTTTATTCAATTAGGTACATTACAATATGCATTTTTTTGTTATTTTGTTACTGAGACAGAGATCTTGTATTTATATATTTAAAACCGTATGAAACATAAAACTAAGGAAAATTACAATAGGAACAAAATTGGCGAAATTATGCGAATACGAATACATTAAAATTTAAATAAAAAAATCAACATAATTGTTAGTTACTCTCATAGTGAGTTCCCTATAAACATTTAACGGCATTGGTCCCAAGACCTTGACGGGCACGGACATCGTCTTGTCTATAAGGAGCGAGAAATCTTAAGTGTCTAATATTTATTCAAATTAAACTACATATTTCATGTCCTTATAATTAATATAGGTCGTCTGAATAGATGTCAGGTAGACGGTCTATATTAACAAAGTTAAGTTCTACATCCTCTTCTTTTCCATCTTCAGTGTCATTTACTGTTAGATTGGAATTTCGACTATTTCTGCAAAGACCCTCGGCATATGCATTACGAGATTGAACATTATTTGAGGAAAACTGTATATTTGGTGACATCCACTGCCTGTTTTCTGACATTTCGTACCAGTTATGCTGCTCGGGTGGCCCCGCATGAATCGCTTGCATGTCCCCTTGTGGCGTAAACAAAGTATTTGATTGAGCTGGTACGTTGTGTGATATTTGGCCGGTGTCCGTTAGCGTTGTTGGCGCATTTTGTAATAAATGGTGCAAATGTGGTTGCATATGCGATGGTGTCCATAGGTTGCCATTCATAATTGCCGAGTTCATTTGGTCGTTATGTAAAACTGGCAAATTGATAGAGTTGTGTCTGTAAAATTCACGATTGAAATGGGATGGTCCTGGCACATTTGCGATGAAGGGATTTGTCGTATTTTCATTTATGGAGGCCTGTATCTCTCCTAAACAGCGTGTATCATTATAACTTGGATTTGGGGTTGATATAATTTGATCGAAGAAGCTACTTTGCATATTCACATCACCGTTATCGGTTGCAGCTGAGTTGTTACAGGGCAGAGAATCGAGGAGCTGTAATTAGCAAAAATACCAAGATAAGATAAGCTTTTTTTGAATTTCGTACTTTGACATTGAAAATCCTATAATACTATTCTGCTTACCTTGTGCAAATCCTCAGTGCTCGGTGGCGAGAAGAGGTTTTTTGAACTCTGATAGTTCTCTGGAAAGATGAAACATTGAAAAATCTTTAATTAATGTTATATTATAGTTACTTAAGTACATACATAATGTATATTTCCTAGTATATCAATAATCTAGAAGTTAGAGTTTCTTTCAGTTAGTTCAGACAAGTCCTTATTTTCAACATAATTTAGTAAGCCTCGCGATAAGACCTAGGCACTTTTTAGAAATAATCTTTCACACACTGCTCGCATTATTTTTATCATGTAAATACTTACTTTGTACCTATCATATGCCTTTCTTAGCAACTGTAAACAATATTTTTCCCCAGGATCGAACCCAAAAGCTAGTTAATAGATCTATTTGTAGCCACCCTAATCGTATCAAGCCAACCGGGCACATCACTGAGACTAATGGACAGTCTATTTAAGACGCCATCATAAACTTACCATCGTGTAAAAGGCTTAAAGCTGGGTCAATCACTTTCAGCTTCTTCCTGTTCAGAAGCTCCTCTGAAACAATTAAATTGTTTAAATTAGTGACCCATATTATTATAGTTATGCATAGGTGTGTGTATAGGTAATAGGTGCTTTGATTACACTGACGGTAAATAACCGCAGCGTTGTGTTTCGCCATGTGAGTGATGAGGTTACCGTACCTTCTCCTCAACCCTTGAATCCCTAAAACCCCTTATCCCGATAATATCAGCACCGTACTTGCACAGAGCTCTAGTGTCATGGTCGATGCTGACAGCTTACCATCAGGTTATGCGTATGCTCGTTTGCGTCGTATTAAGTAAAAAAAGGAGTCGAATATAACATGAAGTCACAAAACGCACATCAACAACAGTGGCTTTAGAATTGGTCATGGGTTTCATGGTAACGATGTTATCCTTTGTGGCTATGTATTACCCAAGGAATGATCGACTACATGTCGACTTCAAAATGGCGACTTTGACGCAATTTAAGAAACGCTTGTCAAAGCGTTATTTTGAGTCTGCCAAAAAGCTGGGGCCCAACAGTGCCGATATTTAGACGGAGTTGCGGTTCAAGCGCAAGGAGGAACCGCGGCTTCGGCCTAGAGCAGGAGAAGGTACCTACGGCGTGTGTCTAGTCGGTAAGAGTCTGGCACTCCATCTCGCCATACCCTAGGCGAGAGAAGTATGTATGTACTTAATGATGATTTTCCATCCACAAAAAACGTATACTACGAGTGATACTTTTAAAAAACAAAATTATTTTTTTAATTAATTTTGGCTTTATTTTACCGCCTTGTCAGTACCTACCACCTGGCGTTTTGGCGGAAAACTCAATTATCATCAATTTTTGTTTTATTAAAATAATGTTTTTTTGGGAAATAGACAACTGTAGTTGAGGAATACTTACAGGCATTTAAAATACCTGTAAGTATTCACAAAACGTTTAAGTAACCAACTTGGATAGTATTCGTCAAAATAATTAAAACAGTTGCAGGTCCTACCTTCAGTATCATCCGGCAAATAATGAAATTCCACAGGATCGCTTCGAGTGCCGTCCGATCTCCTCAATTCTAAGTAGACCTAGTAACATGAGAAAAACAAATGCAGCTTCACATTAATATGAACTTATATTAAGGAACATAATATGGATAGGTACGCTCGCAAAAAATATATATTTCACCATGTCGGTAGGTTCACTTTCTACCGGATAACAGTTTATCTGGCAGGTAGGGGTCTAATAGGGTAGCGCAACAGGTCCAGAAATATGACTTCAATGTTACGTTAGTGTTTAAACCTAAATGCTATACCTACCTAGATAGTATCTATCTGACTTCATAATATAGAATAGTAGGTATTTAAATAGGTACTCCAGCTGGTTTTCGGGTAGGTACATGGGCAAAAAAAGTAAGTAAGACTCACACTCCAGACCCAGAGCAGAACAAATCTCTTCTATACTTATAGAAAAAAGTCTATGAGGTCTGTAGATACTCACGGTAACTTTTTCCTTGATCTCTATGTCCCGATATGGCGGCGCGAAGCAGTACATCGCCTGAGAGCTGTGCACCTTCAAACCCATTGCATGTTTCGCCCACGGCGGTTCGTTGCTAGTGGACTTTGTGTAGAACACCACATCAGGCTTTTCCTTCATCTGAAATAACAGCAATGTGATACAATTTCACGAATCATAGGAAGTCCTCTATAGTTGTTTCATACCGGACAAAGGCAGGGTTAATGTGAATAATAAACATTGCAAATTGTGAACCATTCAAAATAGTCACGAAATACAGATTCATAATTAAGAAATTAAAAAACTCCTCCCCTGTTTAAAAATGAACTAAAAAGTAATAAAAACAAGTTGCCAAAAGGGAAAGGATGACCAATTTTTATAGCAGTCGGGGGATTAGTAGTAATTTTATTTGGTTTTTGATGTTAATTTTGGATTGCAAGTACCTAAACGGATTTTAACAATCCTTTTTTTATTTGAAAAAAGATACATTCTGATAATTAAAATATACAAACTAGGTAAAAAAAATGCTTGCAAATACGGTTAAATTACAAAATTAGTTCAGATTTATTATTGTGCAATATTTCAAAAACTGTTCAACCCGAACCCGAGGTATTCCATGAAGCACACCCAGACGAAGCCCACCTAAAGTATTCCACTTAGCACACCCAGAGGTGGGTTTCAAATAAAAATTTAAAATAATTAATTTCCTATTCCACGAAGCACATCTACAAATATCACTCGCATAGTGCGGGTTAATAAAAAAAATATATTAATAATTATTATTATTATATTCTTTGCGTTTTAGGTTACAACCTCTCCCAAATGCGGTTACAACCTCTCCCAAATGCGGTTACAACCTCTCCCAAATGCTTATTAAATTTATAATTATAATATTTTTCAAACTTGTAGTTCAAAAGTTGGATGGGGGACGCACTTGTTTTGATTTTTGACGATTATTTCCGAAACTACTTACCTAATAAAATTATCCTATTCACTTTTAAATAATACAAATTAATTATATCATTAATATATTATCACACGTTAAAATTTAAATAAAAACAAAAACATTCCCTACTTTACGTGTAGTTGAAATACCCTAATAAAATATTTTACCACTTAATCGGCGTGATTGATATCGGTGCCATATTTCAGCTTTCTAGTGCTAACGGTTACTGAGATTATCGGCGGACGGACAGACAGACATGGTGAAACTACAAGGGTTCCGTAGTAAACTAGGAAAAACGGGCACCTGGATAATGTGGGTCGAAGGAAGAAATGAATTGTAAAATAAAACAAGTAGAACTACGATACTTACTACATTACACAAGATAATAACTTCAGCCCCGCCCTTAGCACTTCCTGATCTGGCGGAGTACCGGACGATCTGTGCCTTTGTAGATTCCCTCGTGTTATAGATTGGGGTAGACACGATCGGCTTCAATATTTTGTTACTACTGAGCAGCTTCACTTGGAAACACAGGCGTATCGCTGTAAGCTTGTAGTCATCGTTAGGCACGTGATTGAACCCCTCTGCAAATAAATAAATATTTAGGAGTCTACCAGAAAATAGTTACAGCTTGTAAGAAGGCATGTTTTACAAAAAGTCTTAGCAATAAACTCTTAACGTTTGTCGTGAGCAGATGAGATGGTATCTAGTGACTCCATAATTGTAGCCATGTTCAGTAAAATAACGACGCTATGCAGCCGAATCTAATAAGGACTCGGTGTCACCGAAAACTAAGTTGAGAAAGACCAAGAGACAATAGTTGTTTAAATGCCCTTAAAATGACTTAACGTTTAACTCACGTTGGAAGGGATCAATTCTCAGATTTTTTCTGGCCTCTAGCTCGGCATCGCAATCTTCTGTCTTTGTCCTTATAATGCGAAGGTCGTTGAATACAAACGTATTATTCCCTGGATGGACCTTTACGTCTCTTGAGAACACTTTTGATTGACAACCACTGCCCATCAGAGTGTTAGGATGAGCTCTGTGTTAAAATAAAACTATATGTTACATGGAGCCTCCATGGAGTACTTTTTCCATGTACTAAAACATGGAAAAAGTAATTTTGAAAATACGCTAGTTAATACTTCGGCTCGTAGATAATTATAACTTCCCTGGTTTTATTTATGCAGATAATATTATATATTTTTTGTACCTATTACACAATAGGTACCTAGTTAATTGTATTTACATAATACTGCCTGCACGATTGGCGCGGTGGCTGGGCAACTGACTGCCATGCGACGTGTCGGGTTCGATTCCCGCACGGAACAACACTTTGTGTGATCCACAAATTGTTGTCATGTGTATGTGAAATTGTATGTTTGTAAACGTACGCACGACACAAGAAAATGCTAGTGTAGGGTAAAGTTTAAAAAAAAACAAACAATCATTATTACAAAACAATATTATGTCGATGAATTGATTCCTTGAGATAAGCTGATAGAAAATTGACGTAAAAAATAGTAACAAAGATGTAGGTAAGTACATCTATATGTATAAAGGGGAATATCATCGTCTCCAAGCTTGACTCGGGGAATTTTAAGTAACTTAATGTAACAAGTGACGGTTCAGTCATCGCCAGTCTCAACATAAAGCGAGTAAAGAACGGACGTGTCTTACTGCTCGAGACTACTACATAGTTAAGTACCTACCTCCTACATAAGTATAAACATACAGTTGCATCGTACATTTACCTAAATGGTTCGTTGGCTGTAACTGGTGAAATGGTGATGCGTGCTCTGTCATGGTTCTGTACATTGTGTATCACGAGCGTCGGGAATGTAATGTTGACACCGTCGTCGCCGTCAGTGGAAGTTTCACCTTGAAGCACGGTTGGTTTAGTCGATTCGTCTTCGTAACGGAATCTGTCAACATCAACGAGCAAATGCAGTTAGGTAACAGTTATAGCTTTAAGAAGTACCTAGTAATAATTTTTAGCTAACTTTAATATAGTTAAGTGTAATAAAGTTAGCTAAAAATTATTACTAGGTACTTTATAACAATGCATAAAAGTGTTTGTGATATTGAAGTGATAACTAATGTAATAAAAAATATAACATGTACTATTATCTAGTTATAAGTTAAATTGCTGCGCCCTAACAGGGTAATGTACTGTACTGGATGTATGTTATACTTGACATTATATGTACATTGTGCAATATGAATAAATAAATAAATAAATTCTCCTTAGCAGAAGTTTCCCTACTCAAGAAGCGGCCAAAAAATGTACATTTCTATATACATAATCAAATGAACTAGAAAATGAAAGACTAAAACCATCAATACCCAAAAATGGAGTTAGGTATGAATGCGACTGTCTTTCTACCACTTTTTGCGTTGTCATTTCCCGAAGCACCAGTTAGGTAGATTACGCAGCTGAATAAGTCAAGAGATTAAGTACATGCAAGGTTAGAGTAGGTACACAAACACATAAACATTATTGCAAAAACAGACATTGTTATTTTTACTAATGAATCGGGTTCGCCCTGAATTATAAAAGTTCACTTAAATAGGGGAGGGTGGGGTAATCACGGACGGCGGGTAATGCCGGACACATCAGTTTAGGTGTGTTAGAAAAGGGTAGTAGATATTCTCAATGCTTCAATCGCGAGTCGAGTTCGAACGTAGTGCCGGACTGTGAGTAGGGGAGTGAGGCTGCGCACACTTTGCAAGGTATGTAAATTTGAGTTTTTTTCTACAATTTCATCTAATTTTAGTGTAATTTTGAAAAGTTGTATATTATGGCATTAATGACATAGGAATCTGGTATCTTTTATGTATATCGACATGTAATTAGATAAGGTTTTAAAGTACTCAGCACTTGCATTACTCGATTCTAACCACAAATAAAAAAATAGTTCTGGATATTTCTGTGAATCGGCTAATGACGGACGACATAAATGGGGCAATCTCGAACGTCCGCAATTACCCCTACATAGATTGATTTTTATCTTTTATTTAAAATATTTGTTTCCACCGGTTAACTGCGGTAGTTTTTGTTTCCTTGTACCTAACCTAAAATATTGTTTCAACAGACTCTTAACTGTTGTGTTTTAAATATGTATACTTACTTACTATATCTATTTGTAGATGCCACGACGTTACCAAAGGAAGACTGAGACCAAATAAAAATTAGAAGATTTAGAAAAAGCTGTTCACTATGTAAGGAACAAAATACTGTCGTTAGGAAAGGCATCTATTATTTATTCTGTTCCAAAAAGTACTATACATGACTATCTCAAGAAAGAAATAATAAATGAACCTAAAACTGGAAGAAAAGCTATATTTACTGATGCACAAGAAACTGAATTAGAACAACATATAATTAAATGCAGCAAAGTATTTTATGGCTTAACAATAGAAATGGTGCGAAAAATGTACCACGCAAAAAGAAGAAAGTCGATAAAGGAGCTACGACGGAGAAAGAGTATTATTGTCTGATTTGTGCCGAAAAGTATGAAGATCCTCCAGTTGAAGACTGGATTGAATGTCACAAATGTAGGTTGTGGGCCCACGAAAACTGCACAAGTGGTAAAAGCACTTCAAAGGGTTTTCTCTGTGATTTTTGTGGGAGTTAGACCACGTTCGTTAGCATCCGAGATTACCCCACACTGTGTCCGTACTTACCCCACGTGCTGTGGGGTAATCCCGGATACAAGGGTTTTGTTTTTTTGATACTAGTTAATTTTATTTTGAAAATATATCTACGTTAAGTATGAGAACAGAAGATTGATTAGTTTAAGTAAACTTTTGGCAATAAATAGTATTCGTAACTTGGTATGGTTTTGTTCTATTTCAATTTTCCCTTAAGTGTTCGCAATTACCCCACTCTCCCCTAGCATCGAGATAATGATAAGGATGACCTGAGATAAATCTGTACCCGCACATAGTAGCAACATGTATTTAGATGCTCACCAACAAAAGTAATGTTTACAAATGTTGTGATAATTATTTTGTTTTTATTATAACTTTCGTGAGACATTCTAAATTATTTATTATGTTTGCATGGCTTGAAACTGGTCGAGTATCTCGTCAAGTTATTACGTGAGTAAGCAGAAAACATAATAAATAATGATTTTGTTGTTTGAGACTATTTGTATTTACTTACTTACTTATAGATTAATATGTATAGGTATGGTAATATATACCTACCTAACAAAGTAGATCACGCAACATCACTAAATATTCTGATAAACTATAGTGAATGCACCTTGTTAATGATACCAAGAACTAAAAGTGTTTACCTTTTATACTTCTTTGGTTGCACTAAAATACTAAGAAACGGTTCGTCAGTATTGGTCCCCGCTCTGCTCGTTGAGGCCACTGGTTCAGCCGCGCTGAGGAACATAAAGGCATGGGTCACATGTGGTTTCCTGTGACGTGAAATCATCACATAATTTCACAACACCGAGACACAAATAACAACACATCACTCGATGTGGGTCCTATGCCATGGTACAGCCACGGGTCGATGACAAAGTATTACTTATTTGAATCAATATAATATTTGATCCCTCACTAAGATTTCCTGTGGTATCGTGACCGAGTTGCCAAAAATAGTAATTTACATAGGTTCACGTCTACGCTTTTTTAGAATAGGAGCAGACTGACCACCTGATGGCAAGTTTTCGGTGCCGTCTATGGATACCTACAACATCGAGGAGTTATACATCGACCTATTTGTTAATTTTTCTTTATAAAAAACTTAAATCTCTCTTTGAACTACTAAGAAGGGCATTCTGTCAGTAGTTTTAGAAATTTTAATACTTACCGATAACTTTGACTGCCCTCCTGGTAACTCACAGATCTTCGGGTTGGGCCCGGCCGCGACATGTTGTTGCCAAGAGATTGATACTTCAAAGAACCTACTTCCCAATTCCTCGCCTTCGTGAAGAGGAAATAAAAGCCTGATTAGAAAAAAATCATTACAAATTATATGTTACTAATAGGTACATTGATGAACGTAGACTAGACAAACACTATTAAAATAACTATCGGTATATTTTCTTGACTGACGACATCCGCAGGGTGGCTGGCAGTACTTGGATGAGAAGAGCTGAACATCGAGCTCAGTGGCGTGCAATTGGGGAGGTCTATGTCCAGCAGTGGACGACAACAGGTTTATGATGATGATGATGACATTTTCTTGTATCAAGAGTAGTAGCGGAGTGGTCTGCATTGCCAGTAATAAGTATAACAAACAAATCGAATTTAGAAAGGGTACCCGCGATAAAAAACAGCCTTATATTTCTTGCATCACAAACAAGGGTTTACAAGTTTAAGAAAAAGAAAAGATATTTAAAGTTACATTAATGCTTTAAAAAGAATAGGTAGATACGTATTGTTAAGTCAAGTAACAAAAAAAAACTTTCATGTGCAAAAAATGAAAGTTTTTTTTTGTGTCAATCACCAACTTATGTTAAACTTTTGGTAAAGAAATAAAGATCTTTGTATTTGTATTTTTTGTAAAAACCCCTCCCTTTCTAAGCGAAGGTGAAGGCCTCCCCTCAAGAATTCCATTTTTCTCTATCTTGGGCTATTTGCGTCCAGCAGAATAAAAATAGTGAAAGTAGCGGGGCCCTGCTGGCTTCTGGACCCAGGATAGGTACATATATATTTTTTTATGCGAAAATGCCGATTAGCCTTCGGATCACTTGGTGGTAAGCAATCAGCGCCGCCCCGCAACAACGGAAGAGTTCCGAGTGCATTGCCTACCTTTTGGAGATTGAGAGATTTTGGGATTGGAGAAGGGGAAGGATTGGGCCTCAGGTAACAGTCTCACACGACGGGTTTCTGTGAGGTCGTGGTATCACTCCGGTATATACTTAATACTTTATTTATTTAGGTAAGTACTATTTTAGTAGGCTATTACTGAGAATTTTTCTAACTTAATTTTATTATCAGTGTCTTTATTTTGAACTTGTATGTGTCGAAGGTTAACTGATAAGTGATAAGGGACGGAGTAACGGAAGAACTCGTGTTTTGCTCGCAATTTTAAGTTACTAACCACAGCTGCACTTTCTGAAGCTGAAGACACCTTCAAATTTTTACAATGCCCAGTAGACCTAGATCGATATCGTGAAACTGGGTGAATAACTACAGAAGAGGGGTGAATCGATGTTGGGAAATTGTTCTAGTATCGATTCACCCCTTTTTTCAGGGGAGAAAGCAAGGGCCAAAGTACATTATTCCGCAGACTCCCACTTACGGTGACCGAAGATCGTCGGAATATCTCCTCCGGTGGAGAATGGGGCATGAGGAGGACAGTTCCCGCACACGCTTCTTTTTTGCGAGCAAGATTGCTTTTCAGAAAGAGAAGACGGCTACCCCGTACCTCCACGGCTTCACGAGAGGTCGCCGCCGATCACTTCCCTGAGGACTGTGTAACACCAGCATGTCGTCAGCGCAATAAACCTCACTGATGAGGCACGGGAGGTCGGTACGTAGTACCCAATCGGACCCGATGATCCTCAGGAACGGTCCTAGGATTGATCCCTGTTGATCACCGAGTGACATCTCTCGCCGGTTTCACATGCCTCGGTGACTGGAGTCAATGAGGGACCTATTTAACAGACTGCACGACGAAGGGAGGCTCAGTCCCCGGTGATACCGCAGTGCTTTTAGAATGTAGCTCAAGGATAGCGAGCTGAAAGCGTTAGCGATGCATAGAAGACACCGCCCCCACTCCCCCAGGCCGATCCCTCACGCGCTTAATAACGTCCACCGCGGAGCGCTGTCTGCGGAAGCCGAATTTGCCATTTGTCAGATCAGGCCCCCTTCTGATGATAGATGCGCTACGAGGCGGTTCAAAATTATGTTTTTGAAGAATTTGCCCACCTTGTCGAGCAGCACAATGAAGGACTTCTTCACGAAGTCTACCCGTCAAAGCGTACTCAAAGAGTCAAAAACACCATAGACGGGGCCTGTTAAGAGCGACGTCCAACCTTGTTGGACTAATTGTTTTGACGGAATCTCATTTTAAGTATATTCAGGCTTACAGTTGATGTGTGGTTGGAAATGTTTAGTGGACATTGGGCATCCTTTGTTTTTAGTCGCTTGCCAGAATTATAGAGAGATAAAAACGGGAGGTATCAAATAATAAAAGGTCATATATTACGCATAGATAAATTGATAGCGAAGTTATACGTACATTACAGACTGCCTCTTTAGTTGAAAGAGCAAAAGTGCTAATTCCGAGCGAATGTTTTAGGTTTGGATGTAGTTAGCACTAGTGGATAAATATCCATGGTATAGAACTAATTGTCAAAATTTATGAGACCATGATCACTCAAATCCTACCTAGGGTGAAAATTAATTAGTTATGTCGAGTGTACCCACCCATCTAAGTGTAGGCAACTCGACTATTTTAAAGCGAAACTAGGGGCTCATATCATTCTGCTTAGCTTGAAAGTCTTGAAACTAATTATCCAGGTTGTCTCAGTCTTTCAGAAGTTGTTATTTAGATAGTATCCAATTATAGTTTTTAATAGGTACCTAAAAAATTACCAACCAAACTAAAACTCTACTTATCGCAAACTAATACTAGCTACATAACACCGGAAATCACTTGTTGTTAGCCGTAAATGGTCACTATGGCTTTATCATCATTATACTGTCTAGATACCTAGATAATTTGAAAAATGACTATTGGATAATATATGTAAACAATGAACATAAAATTAGTACCTACCTTATTAAAATAGATTAGATGCGATGAACATAATAAAAGTAAATATAATGCTATATACCTACTTAAGGCCGGCTTCGAGTAATTTATTCTGGATTTACAAATCTAATTTACAAAGCACCTCACTTCGAGACCTCACGTTCACAAGAAATAAACTTTCATTAGCGCACAAAACGTTCAGTTGACCACAACACAATGAATTATTACTTTTAACCGTTGTTTGTCACAACCAAGAAATATTAGCATAAACACTCAAAAATAAAACTTAAATTACAAGTAAAAGAACTTAATACTGTGATAGACCACCGGCTGATAGTCCAACTTAAACAGTGATGGGAGAGTACGCAAATTAATCTGTTTTAAATACGCGCTGGTCCAGTGACGAAACTACTGATAACACCATATTGCTACACACACTACTGTAAAACAATTAAATCTCGTCTTCTTCTTGATTCTGTGTTATCTTCTTAATAAATGTCTAGTTTCCTTGCTATATAACAAGAAAGGCACAGAAATGCATAGGTACATTTTTCAAAATTCTGATTATATACTTATTACTTTTGTACATTTGTAATTTTCTCTGCTTATTTTGACACTCGCAGAATCATGAGACTGTTTTGGCAAATCATAATAATAGTAGACATGTATAGTTTGTAAAGATACGAGTGGGAGGGAAGGCAGATAGATCCTTGTTACGCAGTAGAGCGATTGCAGCAGTGGTCGGATAAAAATGAAAAAGAATAAATAAAGAAATATAGATACTTACTCAAATTATTACTTCAAAAACATTACGCTAATAATAGCTTTTGTTATCGTTTTCATGTATTGTTTAATTGATCAAAAGTTGTGTTTATCTTCTTAAGCTCCTAAACAAATACCTAATGCATATTCAAAGAGTACCTAGGTATATAAACACTACGTTCTATCTGTGCATATTAGTTACTTGACAAATATATAATATTACAAGAATATAACATTCGTTGCAAGTTTAATTAAAGTCTGCAAAAATTAAAAAGGTTTTATTAAAGGTTTGGCTGACAATAAATCATAAAGAATGATACATTTTTGAATTTCGAATTGGCGCCTTTTTCATGACGCTCGCAGATGTGTTTTGTTAAATTAAATGTGCGTCACGTAAGTATTTCACATTTCGTTAAAATAAATAACAATAATATTGTATACAAGATTGAAGAAAATTTTCGGTCATAATGCCAAGGCTCGTGGACTTTTATCGGTACGTGACCATATATTACTTAGGTATATATTATGTATTTAGGTATTATAGCTGTTTCAAATAGTTTTTACATTTTATAAGTAGGTTAGGTACGTGTTGCCTCTCATAACATGTACTTAGGTAATTCTCTGTTGTCTCTGCCGTCGGCATTAATACTTGCATAATGTGTGTCTAATTATTACGATTGAAAGATAAATCATAAGTCATTGGTTGACACCTATCTTCAGCTAGACCGGCTGGTATGTCTTGTGGCGGAGGTTATGAAGAGAGTTATGCATTTACGCGGCGCTGAATCTCTTGCAACTACCAAATAAAAAATCATGAAGACTAATCAAAGATTTTCAATAAACTAACCTTGACATAGGTACTACATACAAGTAAGTAGGTAGGTACTTACAAAGTTTTATTGTATTATTAACATTGGTTCACTAGTTTCCATGTTGGTACTTGAAAGTGCCAAAAATCAGCGCTGCGTAAACGCATTTTACATTAAACTAGCTACTCTCGCGCAGTTTTATCCGCTGCACAGCTCCATTTACACAGATCGTAGCGTGATGTTTTATAGCCTATAGCATTCAGGAACATTGTAGCTATACATACATATTATAAAGAATTTTGGCAAGCCGACCAGCGGTTCCAAAAATTACCTTACACATACAAACTTACAAATTTTACCTCTTTATAAAATTATTAGTATAGATAATAATCAAAATTGCCACACAATATGAAGAAAAATAAAACAATTTTTTTTAATATTATACTTTTATTGTATTTTTTTGTCAAAAAATATAACAAAATCGGCATTTTTAATGCTTTTTATAATTGCACAATTAGATCATTACTGTAGGCACCCTGTGTCGGTCTCATAATAGATACACTTAGGTACAATATCTTAACCGCGGTTGTAATGATCGCAGCTTCTACCAATTACGTCTGAACGGAATTATGTTCTGTGTCGTTTCATGCAAACACAGGTCTATTTAGTACAAAAACTCGATGATTTTTCCTCAAACATGAACACTTATTATTTTTAACATTTCATGAAGGTACTTTTACATATCCATGATTTAAGAAATTATGCGATTTACTGATAACCAACGATTTTACGGCAATTTTATAATGCTCCCATATACAAACAAAATTCATAAACAATTCAATACTTTTTTCCTTTTATTTACAAACTATTTGGTAACAAATCATAACCAAAATAAGAATTTTATAATTAAATCTAAATCTTACATGAGAAATAAATCTTTAAATAAGTCATTAAAACCAAGATTTATAAAATCTCATCATTCTTATGTGAAAAACTAATTAAACATATTATGTCCAATGCTGTGGATTTAAGAAAAGACTGGAGGAAAGCTTTAATAGTTGTGCTATATACACAGATTATTATAACAATAATTTTAAAACCATATAATAGTATTCCAATATTTCCTTGACAGCTTTACAGCTGTTTTCTTAAACACGTAATATTATAAAAAAAGAAAATAGTGATAAAAATATTGTTTTTACACGACTTTTTCAGAAATTTTATATGAATGTGTTATATGTATAGTATTTGGTATGGTGTATTACAATACACATACCTATTTTGTGAAATTATCAATAATATGTCTAATTTGTTTATTGCAGGAAAATTACTTTACTTAATAAATATTGCTTTAAAATGAAATTAATGTAAAAAATAGAAATATCCACAGCCTTGGAGTAATTAGCCATTAAATTATAATTTCATTATAACATGCTACAACATTAGTTTGAGTTTTTATTCGCATGCTCATCTCGTGTATATATATCCAGATAGGCATTTCTAACAAGTAGAAACGGTATTGGATTGTTATGTACCTAGGCATAATATAAAACATCATTATTTTACGATATATACAAAATCTATTCTGTTTCTGACCACGTAATTGTTGTACAATATAAAAACCATTCTATTAGACCACGGGCATAAACGTTTGACATGAAAATAAAACTGTTAGTCAAAGCACCAACGAAATGCAAAATTAACAATCTGCTCAGAGATCAACGATAGAAAAGTATAAAGAGATCTAGAATATATTTAAGTGAAAAATGGTATTTATTTGCTGTCAGTTAAAATACATAAATGCGATAAAACAAGTAAACATTCGGTTTAGAACTAAATAAAAGTTTATAAAATCCAGAAAATGAACATAGACAGTACTTAAAGCATAAAACATTGTGATGTGCGTATATAAATGATCAATTTTATTTTAAACTTTGCAAATTGTTTCGAGTATGATTAAATTCGTGGACAAACAAAAATTCTTAATAAGCTGCGTCCATTAATATTACACTCGCGCTCACATTGTGATTTACTTAAACGAAAATCCCAGATCGGTGAAATGTACTACAACATAATTACTAGTTAAAAAGAATCCGTAGTAACACACAAATATTTCCATTCACTCGTACGACACAACAGACAAGTTCGTGTCCGTGAATTAAATTCGTAAGTCGAAGGTAGAGTGCGCTACTGTAGCTTAACTCGGGAACTTAGCAATATAATTAATCTCCTCCGTAAAAATGTGACGTCAAACACGTTCGTAGTAGTTTACTGCGGGATCGTGTTGTTGAGCAGGTCGGAGAGCCCCGACAGCTCGCTGGAGTTGAGCAGGAGGCTGTCGCCGCCGCCGCCGCGGTCCATCAGCAGGTGGCTCAGCGACGCCGCGCTGTGGCCCTCCGTCTCCATCGCGCCCGGCCCTGTCGCGCCCTGCTGCGCCATGCGAACGTCATTACATGTAAGTACTTCATTTCAAAACGACAAAAATAATAGATTTCCATTCGAAAACGCATTAACACTTACCTGCACATAAGTGGTTTGGTGTTGCACCAAGTTGGGCGAAATATGGCCCATATTCTGCGGCATGTTTGGGGACACCCGCCCCATGGGGGACATGACCTGCATATTGGGAGACATGGTCTGTCCGTGCGGGGACATGACGGCCATGTTGGGGGACATGCGCTCCGCCACGTAGGGCGCCTGCATGTTGGGCGACAGGGGCTGCATGTTGGGCGACATGGGCTGCATGCTGGGCGACATGGCCTGCATGCTGGGCTGCAACACTTGCAGGTTCTGCGCCATAGCGGAGGGCTGTAAGTGAGCTGGCGACACTTGCCCGTAGGGCTGGTTCTGCCACATCTCTTGTGCGAAAGGGTTCCCGTGCCCTGCAGGCACCGCGCTGTGGCTTGGCCCCGGAACTCCAAGCCCACCTTGCATATTGTCTATTGGCCAATTCTGCAATAGAATTCATTTCTAATAAGCAAAAGAACGATATTTTATAGTCCGAATGAGGAAGGATCAGTAGGGAGAAGTAGTTAAAGCTGTGACATGGAGTATAATAATGATACCTGTTCGTATTGAGGCGCGTAGCCGTGCAGCGGCGGACTGCTTATATTATGGTGGGGCGGAGTCCGGTCTGCAACGACATGTACATTTTAAATATTAGCACAAAAAGCATTCACTCAAGCGGTAACTAGGTAACCGGGACCCTAACAAAGTATTTACCATAACTCTATTAGAGTACAACATTCGTTTTGTATAACGGTTTGGCGTGTGCGTGTACGAGTTAGAGCATAATAATATCATAAGCAAAATATTTCCATACACGTTTAAGGAACAACATAGAACTTCGGAAGGGATGGCTGCTTGTCATACATCTAAGCAGTTAATCTGCTTATTTTTCTTCTACATATTTAATTTAGTTTTTTTTTGTTTCTAGACAACATTGAGACACGCAATGTTCAAAATTAACCTCTATTGTTTTAACGTGTGGTTTATTTTTTAAATGAAAGACATGTAGCTGTAATAAATAAATGTAAACTTAAAGTAGGTAAGTATTTAATCCATAGTTCTCACCTCTTGGCTCTGACTTGATTTGCTGGTCGACCGTCGAGTACATTCCTGAAAACATTAATTTATTAATTTTCAAAATATACTACACGCAAAATACAATATAAATACAACATAAAAAAACACAAAAACATCATGCAGAAATAAGGTTAATTCTAATCTACTTAGAACTACAATCACTTGCAAAATTTACTTTTTTTTGCAAGTAATTGTGTATAAATATATTACAAAAGAATTTCATTAAACTGTAAATAAATGTGCCAATTGCCTTATGAAAAAATAATTCTAGGTACATAAACCGACGCAAAAATATAAATCATGCATATAAAATGTCCACCAATAAGTAATTACACTAAAGTACAGCTAATATGAATATGTGTGAAAAAAAAAACAAAAAAGAAACAAGCTCAAAATAACGAAAAAGAAAACATCAATACCATGCTACATGAAAGTTTCCGTACCTCTGACACCATTCGGGGGTTTTGGGGTTCCATGAACAAGTAAATAAAACCCACATATTTTATTAGCATATTAATATAGAATTTCGCATCAAATCAAGCTTTGCTATCCAACTCTAATCGTTTACAGAAACTTTACAAAACTGTTTACGTAATTTATTAAAATATACAAATGCAAGAATATTGTTGGTTATTTAATGTATGTAATACGGGACAAATTGACCGACAGCTTGGCTGCATAAAGAAAGTTAAGCCTTTGACTAAATTAAATTTTGACAACGCTTTCGGCTGAGCCGCTACAATCCAAACAACACTGGTATTAATAATTTGTAAATTCATCTAAAACTTTATCTAGTACATACAATTTCAAAGATATGTTTAATTTATATACCTTAATAGTACTCAAAGCTGTACCCTAACCTTCACATATGATGTTTTCATCATGAATTGTTAAAAAATAAATCTAATCATGTAATTTATATTGATCTTGATGACGCTGATGAAAACACCATACGGAGTTACACAATATTATGTAAAATATGATAGGGTATCAATGTAATCAGAATAATAATAGAAACTACTGACAATCAAAGTTAAGTACGCATCATTATAATTTGAGTGATCACAAAATCCATTCACTCAACTCCTGTTTTAATGTTCTTGAATTGAAATTCTTTGGTGAAAAGTGTTTATGTTTAGCTTGTTGTTGTACTCATACTAGACTTCCTTTACACACATATCCACATTAGCTCAATCAGTTATGTGAAGTTAATGTGTATTATGGTTGAAACTTGCATGCTATACATGACCATAGCTGCATTTTCATTACCACGTAATTCATAATCAGGGTCGAATATCTAAATAACTAATTATTAAAAAAATCCTATTTTATTAACTACCTACTTGATGGAATCCGACCCTGTTCTATAATAAACTTTCTTAACAAAATAACAAAACGCCCAATAGATTTTTTTAAATATTAACGAATGAACAACTAAAATAAATAGTAACAAAAAAGGACTTTAACTAAATAGACGACTAGACACTCACATAAGACAAATAGTTCCATAAATTAAGTTTGTAACTACCTGTACTAACAGATATTAGATTTTTAAAAACTGGTAAAAAGAAACATGTAAAATTCACCCATTATAATCCTTGCCATACCTATTTTAAATGACTCTTCACCTTACAGTTAGTATTAAATATTAAGTAAAAATAAGTATTAATGATTTAATTTGCGACCTTAAGGCCGACACAAATGCTACGCGCAATACAAGAGCTGGTTAGCAGATGTTTACAGGACATTGTACAACACTGGTCGATATTTGAAAATTGCCTTTACAACTACGATATAAAGACGTTGACGTAAATACTCAAACATGTTGCAACATAACAATATTTTCAACACTGCAAAGAACGTGCCGTTGTCAATATATCCATAATACTAATTATTTTTATATAAAATACATTTATGTTAATAATATCAATACTTGTACTACTTATACCTAATTAATGGATGTTAGTCAATTCACAAATACTTATCGAAATCAGATCTAACCTACAGACAATAAATATAAAATAATGTTACGTCATAATCAATGATTTGTAACCTCCACACCGTAGCCTTGACTCAAGAGTAAATCATGACCAGTCCCTAATAGATGATAAATAAACACGACATATGATCACATGTTACACCAACGACACATGATTATCCCTTTTACCAAATCAACCCTAAATAAATAAATATAGGTACAGGGTGCATGACGCAAAATTAATGGGTTTGTGCAAATTTGTGTAAAAATATTATAATAATAAATCATTGACTAACTAATGATGAATGTAGATTTGAAACAAATGTTAACGCCAGACACCCTGCACAGACACATGTAAATAAATAATACAAAGTTTATAAACCCGAACTTACTTTCAAGATCGTAGTTTCGTAACGTGTCGTTTACCATCTTCCGCTTCTTAATATTCATCTCTAGAACATTAAGTTGGCAATATTATTACACAAATATTGATAAATATATTACAGTAGACACAATTTAACTTGTTACTATGAAGGTTTCAATAAAAATGGCTGCAAAAAATAGCAGTGTAAAATGGTTAACAAATTAGTTAGGATACGAAAATAATAGAAAACCATGTAAATACGTCAAAAACCTGTAAAAATGTGATAGATTTTTGGCATTGGGATGGGAAACTAGTACAAGTATCGGCTGACTTGTACCAATTAATTGTGCAGCTCTGTCAATTTGATGACCAAGTCACTATCTGCCGATTAATTATTTTGAAATTTGCTGCCATCTACGGGCGAGTAATAGCAACTTGTTTCATCGAATTCAGAAACTGTCGCGTGTGGGGCAACGGCCATATACAACGCGTAGTGCTCCGCGTCAGTCAAATCTAAATCATCTTGCAGCTTTTTAAACTGGGACGCGTCTAAAGCGAGCACACTTTCTGCCACTAAAATAGTGCCACCGTCTGTTGGAGGCAGCGGAGCTAAGCTGGCAGGACGACGCAAAGAAGACTGAGATGTGGACTTCTCATTGTCATCTCCGTGTAGAGAAATATGTGTGATGCTATCGGCATAACTGAGGCCTGTGCCAGAAGCGTTGTCTTTCAAAGAGGTGTGAGACACTGATGACTTAAACTTCGAAGGACGCACCCCCGAGACACTGCTCACAGAACGACCTACAGGTTTACTCTTTGCCTCTTTCCTACCCTCAGATTTAACACTGGGGGCAGGTGATTTCTCCTTTCTTCTAAATAGTCGCGAAAAGAACGAACGCTTCTTGACCGGCGGTAAAGCGGGTTCACTCTTGGCTACGGTCATCTCAGAGTTTATTTTCAGATGGTCTGGGTTGCGGGTGACGGGTATCTGTCGCCCAGGTTTTAAGATACTATCGACCGAAGTCTGACTAGTTTTGAAAGGTTCGGTAGATGCAGCTTTACGGACGCGTTTGGGAGGTAACGGGGGTGCGCGCTCATCATCTGTATCGCGTTTTAGTGGACTAAATTCAATGATAGGGCCGCGATACGTCTGAACTTGGACATCTTCATACGACATCGGGTCAGGTTCAGATATCTCTACAGGGTTTTTGAAAGCGAGTTGCAAACTGGTGTAAGTGCCCGCGTCATTGAAATCCTCTATATCTTCACTATTGTTCGTTAATGAAGATATGTTTTCGAGGCGCGTGCGGTTCTCTGAGTATATTTCATCTAACTCCGCCACCTGATCGAGAAGTTCATTTAGACTCTTCTCGTTGGTGTCGATGATCTCGACGTCGGTAACCTGTGGGTTGCCATTAACGTCGGTGTCGGTAACCTGCGCGGTGTCAGTGTCATCGGACACGCTGTAACTATCAGTGGTAGAGCTAACGACTTCGGTTTTGTCTTGTTTGTTGTTATTGGTGTCTGTCCGCTTCTCGTTGAGGAGCAGCGAGAACAGAGACAGGTCTGGAAGAGGTTTACGCGCGCTACCTGAGAAATCGGGGTAGTACTCGAACGGCAGTGAGTTGCTGCGGGCGTTGTCCGACAGCCTCTTCAGCTGGAAGTACACCTAAAAATAACAAGAAATCCGTTTAACACGCCGTGCTTTAAATTTGGTAGCGATTTGTATATTTTAGTAATTCTAGGTAAGTTGTTGCAGTACTAACATTAACGTGGTCGGTAGTATTCGGGTACTTGTAGGCTGGCGTCTCAAAAGCAATAGCCACTTGTTTGTGTACCAGGATCCTGATTGCAGTCTCTTCCCAGACAACAATACCGTCTTCTTCCTGGTAGAAAACTACTTCGATGTCTTCTCGGGTCACCTTGAAAACGCATAAAATTATTTATTTTAAGTACGATATTCTGATATGAGACCAATCTAGAAAACACATGGAGATATTTTTTATCTTTTACTTTGGGATCAGAAGTACTATAAGGATCCCAAAACAATAATCACGGAAATGTTACCGATTGATTTTAAGTTTAAAACAAAATAAGTGCTCTCACCTTCTCACAAAGTAAGATAACTTGAGTCCCGCCTTTTGCCGGCCCAGAACAGTGGCTGGACCGCATGATGAGCAGGTCGCTCATGGCTTTTTTGTCGTAGATGACATCCGACACGACAGGCGTCAAGGGACGCCGTAGTCGCCCTGTCTCGTCCGGCAAGAACACTTGGAAACATAGTCGCACCGCGTTCAAGTCGATGCTTTGAGGATGGTTCTTGTGATCAAAGTTTTCTGAAAAAACGTCATAATTAGTTATTAGAAAACTGTTTTGTTGGGTGGAAAACGAGGTGGAGGTAAATAAGTAGATTATTATGTAAAAAAGCCACTATTTGTCGCAAAATGTATATGACCAAAAAGATTATTACGGATCATCCATAAGATATATACCACCGCGGACCTATTCAGCCTGCGTGTACAATGTAATCGAAAAAAATTAAAACATTAACGATAAACCTCCCAAAATAACGGTATGTCCACCATTTACGATGGTCTGATCGATCTTTTATCACAATGTCAGGTTTATGGGCAATATTTGTCGTCAGCGATGATAGTTCGAACCCTATGCACAGTGATATCTCCATTTGCAAAAACTGGGTCAGGCAGGGATAGATAATTGTATTTATTATTAAAATATCTTGGTTTAACCTTGTGAATATAAGAGGTCATACCTAGCTACGTATATAGGTTATTTAATTATAATTTCTTCTTACATATAGGTAGATTTTACCTGTTGCTGATAGTTACTAGGCAGTTCCATAGTTACAGGTAACAAGTTTATAAATTATAAAATTAATATTATAAGTACGTGGAAAACGTAACCCTGGATAAAGAAAGACGTGTAACGTTAATATTTACCTCAATGTTAATATTCTTTAACCGTGCAGGTCTAGTACTTTTACAGGATTTGTACAGGGTATAATGAAAAGGTTTGTTTAAAAACTTGAGCAAATTTTAGAAAATGTATTGAATAAAAACACATGCTTTACAGAGCACAACTCTTTCTGGGCTTCTTAAAGATCTAAAACGAAAATGAAGTTTAATGTCATTAATGCGTAATTAAATTAACTTCTGCATCTGGGTTACAGATGCAGGATATTCCGTGGTCTCGATTACAAGCAATAGTCCGGCAAGGTAACATATTAATTCTCCACGTAATACTTCACGCAAGATATTAGAAAGGTGTACTTTCATCATAAAGTTGGGCAATTCTGGAATAACCCACAACTGCGGATCTGATTTGAACGTTTAAGAAATATATTCACATTCCCATTATATTCTACATACATGCATTTTGAAAATAGAGTCGTTAATCAAAATTCCATTACTATGGCATTGACGTCAGAGTGGGGTTTCCCAAGCCACTTTCACTCAACACTGTTGCCCGCCATAACAGTAACGATGACCGATGAATTAACGCTAACCTAGACAGTCACCTGCGACTTATACGCGCGCGGTTATAAAGTAAACAAATAAATACGTCGCTCTGACGCACTTTGTCCGATCGAAATGTTCATTGTCTACCACCGAATTAGCGTAATTTTTGGTTAAAATTGTTTAATAGACTTTAATACTTATAAGAATTTTGACAAGTAGATCAATGATTAATATAAGGGACACTGCTACCAAGATATACAGACACAGACCTTCAATAATTGTAATAATTCAAACTTGAAGATTTACCTTAACACTACTTAGTAAAGAATTTTCGTATAAACACAATAATTATAATCTCATACACTAACATAGCGACGAACAAATATTTGATTGACGCGGAAATAGTAGCCACTGCTTCATCTGTGTAGTGTACACAGCATCACACGAGGTTGTTTTGGTACTTGAACACAAATTATAAAACATAAAATATGTTACCATGTTACTGACTTTTGCATAACACGTACTATAGGTACCTATGCCAATTGCCAACATATTGTATTAAGAAATATTTGAATATATCATAATATTATTTTGTGAAAATAAATGAATTGTTTTCTTTTACTAAGCTATTGAAGTCTTGCTAGGGCCTTCAAGGGATATATCAGTTGGCAACAACACTCGATTTCGAACCTTCCGCATTCGGCGTTGAACCAGCTACCTTTTACAGGTCGTCGTATCATTTGGCGCGGTGCCCACCATTCTCATTTTTGTTTACACTTTAAAAATTAAGCGTCACTATGACTAGTAATAAATAACACAGCATAAGATTAAGATATCGTTATGTCGAATCATATGTTATGTCAAATTATAATCCCAATCCAAAGTGAATATTCGTATGAAGAAGAAGAAGCAAGAAACTCTAATGTTGTTCTTTAAAAATAGTCTAATTTAAATACTACAAGGCATATCATGACAAAATTAAATGATTACATAGCCTAAATGACAGGTCAACTCAACCAGTAATTATTTACAATCGTGAGCCAAAACCGGTTGTCGACTTGGCGTGCAAGCACGCGCTGCTGTGATGCCGTGGCGCCGAATTGAAGCTTTCCCATCTCGTGCTGTATTTTGCACTGAGTTTTCCTGTTGCATTCATTATTTTATTTATTGAAGTCATTTAGGTCAAAATAACACATTTGTAATATGTATCGTGTTCCCCTGTAGGTAATACCTATTCAATTCCTACGAAATTTCAAAGGATATATTTTCTTTATAATATTAGTGCTTCTTCATAAGCATAAGCATATTAAACATTATTATTGTTTTCAAAAGATCTTGAGTCTTCTCTACAGAATAATTAACTCAGCTACAGCAGTGAAAAGGAGATGAATATATTTATTAGATCTTTAACAGGTTAATAGGTCGCTGAAAGAGGCCGGGCGCGGTTTATGGATATTTCTGGGCGCTCGGCTATTTCTGTAACTATGGCAGGCAGTGTATTTACTAAGACTGGATCTTAAATTCAAGGCAGCAAAGTTCAATTTGCATTGTATGCAGCTATTCCAGTCAAACGTATCGATGTTGGTCGGCCGATATCTAGACATTTTGTTAACTAGGTTTCTTATTTCAAACGATCATATTAGTTACCTTATTCATCATCATCAAATAAATATGAATGGATAAATTGTTTCTCTTTCGGGCAAAAATTACAAACAGAGATAGGTAGAATACTATGTAGATATGGAATCACGCGTAGCATGCTTTTTACCCTGGGGTATAAGAAGCAAAATCGCTGCCATAAGCAATTTTTTTATTAAATTAACATAGTAGGTTTGTGAGGTCTGTGTCCAAAAATGTGTTATAGTAATTGTACCTCTACGACAGCTAGAACGCTGACATCATTCAGATCTTGTAAAGATAATAAGTAACGATTTTATTACGAAGACTTTACTTTGTTTTTAGTAAATCCAATGTTTATAAAGCCGCATCCGGTGATACGTTCACGCGTATGCTATTCCGGATCATTGCATCACAACTTGTAACGTCGATAAGCGGGAAAAGTCAATTGTTACGTAACATGAGACTGAATGACTCGATGAATGTGAATTGATTTAATTGAGCACAAAATCTTGTTCAAAAGATCCATTAGTAGTGAGTGCTTCTAGGTATTTTACCTAATTTTTATCATTCTGCTGAAAAAATAAAAATACTTTGTTAAAAAATCTCACCATTTTAATTACCTGTTTTCTGAAACAGATAAGTTTGTATATAACAACATTACTTTGTTACTACTTACTTTCTTATTCATTATTTACAATTTCACGCTATACAGTTTTATCGGCGAACGGAACGCACACAACTTGTAAACTGATGTTTCTGTGTCCTCTAAAATACAGATTAGTTTGTTTAAAACATATCGTTACTTATTTTTCCATTATAACAATGCACTCAATTATAGTATTAAGAATTACTTAGTTTTAAGGTTCTAAGGGTAGCAATCAATAATTCTAGGTTCCCTACTAGTTAGTAATAATTATATTCACCTACGTACGTATTCAATTTTCTAAACAATTTTAGTATTTTAGTAGATGTTTTTGGGAGCTAATTATTGTTTGATACGTATTATAAGTAATGCCTTACCAATAGCAAATCTAGTGCGAATTCGAATAATTCGTATGAAAAGCAATTTTGTTAAAAATGCATAAAAATTTCATTTAGAAAATACCTAGGTAAAGTCTGCTAAGCTCGTGTAGTAAGTTCCGTCTTATTCGTCGACGCTTCAAATATAGGCACTAACAGGACAGGCTTTCCAACCAGACTTAAATTATGGTGATTATTATTTTACCTTTTTTAAACACGATGAAAGTACATAATTACTACATAATAGTTAGATCGTTACAACTTACAACAATCTATATCATATTGACCGACAGAAGAAAATATCTGTGTACCCCTTTTTAAGCAACATTCTATTCATTATAGTTTATATACAAAAGTTGCACTGATGCAATTTCTATCTATGTATTTGGCCAAAAGAATGTGAATGACAATATAAATGTTGAATTTATTTCCCATGCTAGTTTCAACGTAATTAATATGAACTTCACATTTAACCCTAGACCTCGGCCTATCTGGGTGCACATGCACTCTGCCTGCTAGTAAATATATCTGGTTTATTTTGATACTGGTATGCGCACAGTATTTCATAAGTCTGCTAAACATAACAATAAAACAAGCGCCTATGTGTCACCAATGTAAAGAGCATTTAATATAGATATACTGTTATTGAAAAGTAAGAAACAAACGTGGCCCTAATTGGGAATATCCCAATTTGTATTAGTAATAAAAAAAAGTTATTAATAAATAGGTGGAAATAAATTATAGATAAGATCTCTAAGTCTGTGTTTAAAGATATTTTTCTGGAAATACACAAAATCTGTCTATACCTATACAACATTCATGTGCTCAATTGATTAAATACATAAATCTGATAATTTTTATATTTATTTTATAATTACCTTTTTAATAATTATTATCCAAGTGATTTGTCATTACCGAGCTGGCTTAAGAAGGTTCGGCTTTTCATATTATTTTATCAGCACTGAGCCATTTGTATTACTATAATTACATTTGTCAATATTTTCATTTTTACATATGCTAGGTATTCCCACGATGGGTAATTAGAACCTTATCTCCTTGTAGGTGGAAATGCCCAAGTCCGGTAGTAAAGCCGAAGATAGGCTTTCCCCATGAAGGCGCCATGTATGTGCGAATTACGCTCTTATTATTATACATACATACATCAATGAACAAAGTCAATGGTCGAGATAGCGATACTGAAATGATACCTTATCTGATGAATGATAATTATAAAAAGTGTAACGACACACGCTGTTTATTGGCTAGCTTTCGCATCACTCATACGCAGATACGTAGTTTTATCACTTTACAACTGAAGCGTGAGTGGTTTTTACCAATGTTTGTTGTAATGAAAAGTTGACAAACAAACATTCTACTACGTTTTTTATTTGCTGACGGTTTCACGTACTCATTTATTTCATGTTTATCCGTCAGACATGCTCTGTAAGTGTGTCAAGTATGACTAAAACTTACAATTGTTACGAGCTCTATACGCATTTGAAAGAGACCAGGATGGCATGAAATTATTATATGGGCAAATAAAATAACATAAGGTCTTTACTAAGTTACTGCATTGTAACATTTTTTATTATTTTCCTTAAGGGAAAACATGCAAGCGATAGCTGCTGTATTTCCAAATATGTAAGTGATCTGAACTGAGGTAAACTTACGTTGCGCAGAACAAGTTTTTCACACTCGACACGATAACGAAGCCTTAACAACAAGTTGACAACTGGTTGAAGGTTCATCAGATAGAATATTTTATTATACCTTAATAAGTGAAAGCCATGTTTTAGTGCCATGAAAAAATACAACTAACTACATATTATTTACTGAATACTGTTTGCTTAATTCGCTTTTTCGGGGTTGAAAGGAAGGCCATTAAGAAAAAAATTATCGGCATTTTGGCAAAGATACCCCTGAAGAAATGGTTGTTAACCTATTATCCAAACCTATCAAGCCAATGTCAGATAAGCTAACGTCAAAAGTAAGTACATTTCATTTTTTTAAGTATAGGGAAACTAGTAGATGACTATAGTTTATGAGATTTAGCCTACATGTATAGGTAAATAGTAAAGCTCTGAGACAAAGAAGAGGTCATCGACCGACCTTGAGCGACTGGTGGAACGTGTAATTATGCGACATTGGAGCACAATACTATGTTGCGATGAATGGCCGCGGACGGGGGCACTGAGGAAATCAAGAACTTATTTTACTTAAAAAAGAAAACTCTAAAAGAAATTGGTATAAATATTACCTACCTACTGATAAAAATTATTGGTGGTGCTTGGAAATTTTAAAATAATGTAAATCGGTCTAATAAATTGAGTACACAATTCATAAGCACGGGTTTACAAATGTGAATTACCCAGGTTCAACTGTTTAAGGCTTGTCTGTCATTCCAATCACACAGTTTTGTAATAAGCCGGTCATCTTAATAATTCTTAACTAAGATGCAAATGAAAAATAGGGAAACGTGACAATTAGACATTGTTTAAAAAAATACACAATTTATGACAGTAGGCAGTTTCGTATTCGTCTCAAAGTCTCAATTTAAGATTATCTTATTGACGATATGTACGCGTCATAATAAAAACATAAATAATGTTGTAATAAACGGAAAAGTTTAAAACGTTATTTAATAGACCTGTAGTGATATACATATCTAAACATTACCTATGATTAATTTTTTGGCCCATATTACAAAACGGAGTATTTAAACGCAGTTTGTTTGAAACTCATTGCTATCCATGACGTCAACTCGCTCGGATCTCGAAATACGAACACGTCATCAAATGACATTGGTCCTCATCGCTCAAGTGAAACGACTACAAAAGATATGGGTTCCTTAACATCAAGTTCCTATATAACTTTCGTTTGATTAATTAATTACAGTATCGACAAGCTATATTTTTAGAAGCAATTAATTTAATTGTGTCTCGGTATAAATAATAACTTACTAAGAGATATGGACAGAGTCCATCTTTGTTGATGAAAATATTTAAGCCTATAATTATATGTTCTGCGAAATAACGAAGGTAACCACAGTTTTTATTTATACATTCGATATGAACCCGCGCTGTTTAAGTGCACGTGCACGCCATACTTTATTATTTATCTATGGTTCTGTTCTGTGTGTCAGTTCAACGGCCAGAACATTATGCATGACACTCTTTACAAGGAAGGACAATTCGTTTAATATCTTCACAAGGTATCTTATATATAAATATTGTATACATATACCTACGTTGTGTATCTGATAATTGGGTTAGGGTGAACTTAATGCCTAACTTTTAACACTAGCCATGACCAGAATAATTCCTTTTTCTTGTGTAACTTGTAAATGAAGTAGAAAATTTTGAGCAATTTTTAGCGTGCCAGTCTATGACTAGGCAAACAGCGCCTACTGAGTATACGGGTTCGACCCGCAAAGACAAACCTCACAAATAGCCTGGCCATAAATTCGTATGCGAAAAATAGTCCTTGAAACGTGGTCAGGATATAAATCAAATCTTTGAGTTAGGTTTAAAAGAAATAACTTACTTCTAAAGGGATCCACCCTAAGTTTCTCCCTGATGGTGAGGGCCTCCGCGATGTCACGTCGCTTCACGCACTGGATGCCGAGGTTCTTGAACTGGTACTCGCATGTCTCCTCTGTGACGCGAAGGGGGATCGTACACACCCCCCTCTCGCAGCGTTCTCGACCCACCAAGTTGTGGGGGTGTGCCCTAAAATAAGTTTGTTTATGAACATACCGAAGCAAGTACTTAGTACTTAAAAAAGTTGTAATATGGCAACCAGCTACTTTATTCATAATGTTTGTATTACATAATATTTCGATGTTCCTGAATAGTATCCATAAGAGCTACAGTCATTGAGATGTGGTGGTTACAGAAAGGTTTTTAATATTCTTGTTTAATTTTATTCTTTATTTAAATCAGGAATATACCTCTGAGTTTGTTTAGGCATTTCTTCTCAGAGTAGTCAGATAGAAAATGCCGGCTACATCTAGTTTTTCATATATAATTTGACGTGTAAAAGTGCCGTTTTATGGCCTATTTGCAATAATAAATTCTATGTTTCATTATACATAGAATGTCAAAGTAGTACTAATAACGGCCAATTAAGGCAACTGACGAGAAAATATTCTAAATTTAACATAGCAACTATACAGAAGCTCTGGTGTACTTTTAAAAGCAGTTTAAATATATTTATTACGTAAAGCAAGTCAAACAGTGTCTGCATTATGTCTGGCCTACCAGTTTATGGCGCAGAGACCACAATGGTAAATTCTGCATGAAGCATAAATAAAATACTTAAAAGTGAATAAACATTTGTAGGCATTGTGAATTGTCGGAACAGTAGTAAGTGCTTTCAATTATATCAGTTTCATAACATAGCTTATGCATCTCTCATCAAAACACATCGAGTAAATTTCGGAGCCAGAATGAATGCCAAGAGAATTTAAAAATGTTGTTACTTAAATGATAGTGTGTAAAGTTCTTCCTTATAAGTTATTCTTACCTGTAAGGTTCATCTTTGGTAACACAAGACACGACAATAACCACCTGTCCTGTGTATCCGCATATCTTAATTGTAGGGTAAGTCTTGTTATCTGACGTACTGTTCACTCCGGGAATAGATCCCGCTGACCGGCCTTCACACTCATAGCGAAATCTGTGAACAAAAATATTTAATGTAAGCATTGCTTGTTTGAAAATCTGCAGATGGAAATACGGACTATTCCTAAAGTATTTATTTGATGGCGAGTTGGCTGTTCCAAAAATAATCAGATTATATCGACCTATTTAACAATGCATTCACGCAGCGATCGGCTTGTTAATTCCTAAGCGCCTGCGCATTCCAAAACGGAACCGTGTGCTCAGATATTAACATGCTAAATTAATTCAGTTTATGAAGTTATTCCGTAAAAATACTTTCGTCGCTTCCTGAACAAAAGAATCTGTGTGCATAACACCACTGCTGTTTTGTTAAAGGAATTTCTTACTTCAGTAGGTGACTGAATGAACCAGATTATAAGGAGATAATTGGACTATTATCACAGCATTTTATTTTTCAATTTCAAGTAGGTATACAACAAGTTTGCGCATGTCTGTCTATCTATGCTGTTTTTAAAGCTAATCACAATAAACTTCTTATTCGTATTATTCTTCTAGTTCACCGTCTGCCATATCGGACACTTAAACGTACCAATGCATGCAAGAATTAAATATGGACGATTAAGGTAGGAAAATACAAGAAAATACAAAAAAAGGATTTTCCGTGAATTTTACTTTAAAACAATAAGTTTTATTAAACACATTAATAGTAACTATTATAGTCAATCTCATAACAAACATAGGAATGGTTTTCCTTCAAAACTCGTAAATCCGCTACGTGTGGAATACTGCAATAAGTATTCGTGACCAATTTACGCAAGGGAATAAAGATTTGTATGTGAAAAGGTAGGATTTTAAGGTTTTATGCTTTTCTGCTGATACATACTACATAATAGAGGACGGCGTTTCCTCTATATACCACTTTAACTTATTTTAACCCAAACGAAGTTATTAATTACAAAAACTATACCTATGTCATCCTTAAAAAAACCCTCTTAAATAAACATAGCATACAGACAGATTTATAACAATTCTAAGTTATCTATGTTACTACATATCTTCATGAATAGTTTGTATGTCTTAGTTAAAGGTATAATTATTATTATCCTCGATTACTTGTCACGTGTGTTGCCACGGCGCACACGATATTGCAACACAACGTGAACATTGCAATTCCAATGATGTATTAAAATAGATCAGGATTATATCAGGTAGTGCACTTACACTAAGACAGTAACTAAGTGGAGGGAATGACTCGCATTCAGTCTAATTAGCTATAGTTGTATAAAGACTTATTCGTTATGATTAATTCAATTTCAAGTGGCATTTAAGGGTTTCTAGAATAGGTCTCGAAATCAAAGTAATATCGGGTGTTGATAAGCGTATGATATTTGTATAAACGCCAATCGTGTCAGTGAAAATTTTGCTTTTTATAAGATAAATACATACGTTGTTTTGCAGTTCACTTGTATTGTAAAAAAATATTATTAAAAAAACAAAATACCCGACTGCACACTAAAAAAAGAGTAAAACAAGCCCCACAATACAAATTTACTGAATATAATTTATAAATGTTGATGGAAAGCATCGCAGGCGGGGACCAACAGAGGCTTATTTATAGTAATTTCTGTTGTGCACCATTTAGCAGAATTTTCGTTGGTGGCGGTCAAGGTGGTCCCCGCCTGCGATGCTTTCCATCAACATTTATAAATTATATTCAGTAAATTTGTATTGTGGGGCTTGTTTTACTCTTTTTTTAGTGTGCAGTCGGGTATTTTGTTTTTTTAATAATATTTTTTTTATTTATAACTTTTTAGCTGTTTTTAACGACGAAAATGTTGTAGATGTAGAAGACTATGTATATGTAAGTACCATTTTAAATTATTTCGACGACATTTGGCTTTAGATTACGAGTGATGTTACTCCGCAACATAAATTTACCGCCAATCTGGACTGTTGGTAGTGAAGAAGAAAAAGAATTAGGTGAGTCATTACTGCTGAAGATCCCGCAAACGTTTAAGTTCAGTTAAAGAACATTCGTCGTGGGGCCGGTCCAACAGCTTTTGTGGGTCAAGTGTTTTTATTGCTAACCCAGCAAGTGTTTTAACACGGCTTAGGGCTACATAAGCCTGGCCCTTTCCAAACACGTTTGATAGGTCCACGACAGCCCGATCCAAGGTGGTACCTTGCAGTTTGTGTACCGTTACAGCCCAACAAAGTATCAAAGGCAGCATCCGACGTTCAATCTTCCCTTGTCCGCGAAGCGCATCAAAGTCGACAGTGGAGGGCTCTATGCGAACCCCCACACCCAATTCATTGCCCTTAACAGAACGATCGTCGAACTCTACGAATACTGCCTGCGGTAACTCACCTGGTTCTAACTGCTCTCTGCGAAGAGAAGGCCACTCAATTCTTCTTATGATACCCATAGCACCGTTCACCAGACCGTGGTTTACATTGATGTTGCGGCGTAACATCACGCGAGATCCAATTCCAATAGTTAGGGTGCCGAGAATGCCCCCTGTTTTGTTCGGGTCGTCAGAAATGTATTGTTTGCGAGGGCACTGACCGTAGGTTTTAGCTTCTAGGGAGATGTCAACAGCGTTTATTTGGTAGAGCTTTAACGATTTGCCCAACTTTTTAGTCATGGCTGAATTATAAGCATCGACTTGTTTCGTAGTAGGGAAAATTCGAACTGCCTCTCCATCGGCAAATGGACCCTCTAGTGGAATTCTGCGGCTGTCCAGGATCTCAAGTTGGTCCATCGTTAACTCACCAACACGAATATTATTGAGAATGTCCACAAAGGTATTGTCTCCTGCCTGTCTCATATTCTGTGGCAATTCACAAAAGCTGAACAATTGCCACAGATTTGTTTCACCAGAGTTGCTTTGCGTTGACGCAGAATTAACATGTTCCCGTGGGAATTTTGAGAAAAAACGTATCCTATATTAATTACTCCCGTGATTGAAATGAATCTAATGATACCGCATACATATTTTTTTAAAGGGAAATTTAGAAAAAATATTATTATGTCTTTATCCCGTGGGACTTTTAGGATAAAATGTATCCTATGACACTCCCGTAATCAAGACAAATCTAACGATACCTCATACATCAAAATCCATTAAGCCGTTTAGGCTACAGGAGGTCACAAAGGAAAAGACATACATACATACTTACATACACTCGAAAAACATTACCCTCCTTCTTTGGCAGTCGGGTAAAAATAGGGCATTCGCACTCTATTAAAGATATATAATACAATAATAATACATTGTAGATGCTATTGATACAACTTAGAAGTTAGCGAGCGGGGCTTCTAAAGTTATTCCTATTTTAAGTTACCTCTTAGCTATATCTTTAAGTACTAATGTAATGAGTTTGATCTTTCGCAGTAGTTTTACTTAATCTTCTCGTATAATATTATTGTATTCTTTTTCTCAAGTGACTATAATGATTAAATATAGGGTCTTAATAATAATTCTTAATACCTACAAAAACGTAACGTTTTAACTTGTACATAGGCAATATCGGTGCTTAGATACACCCATAATTTAGATTATATTTACTCACACATTATCACATAACAATTATTATGACGCTTATATTTATTACATCATACAGTACATAATATTTGTGTTCTCACATATTGTATGGATTTTTTGTAAGCATTAGTCAAATTGTTCGAGTGACGAGTTATGTCCCACATAAGTATGTGTAGGCCTGTATGTTTACCTTATAATAATTGAAGTATGTGATCATTTGTAAAGTGTATTCTGTGTAACGTTGGAACCCATTATTTAATTTACTGTAAATACCATTTTAATGTAGATATAGCAAGTTAAACGGTAATTTATTTATAAGCGAAAATTATACAGGAAAAATGTAGCGTAAAAAGTCAAAGTTTAATCAATTTTTTTATTTGACATAAAACAATATTTCCACGTTCAGTTAGACCTTTACAGGCACTTTTGAACGTCAAGCTTAATTTTAAAGAAATAATTTGCTAGTCTTTAAATGCTTCTAAAATAATCTTTTTCATAAAGTTATACATATATACACAGATTGAATTAGGTTGTTGTGCTGGCGCCCATACGTTAGATATTTACATATTTCGCGTGCACATTTTGTGAAAATTTTGGTAAATCACTACTAATTGTAGTGGACTGTGACGAGTTCATTGAAAAAGTGTAAACAAATGTAAATATTATCAGAAGTGACATATATTCAAATATAATTTATTAAGGTAACTATGTTAAGTATTAAGATTATACTGATCTTATAACAATATGAATAAATATGAATAAATTGTCACTAAGCGTTAATTCTCTTATGTTCGCCACATTCAATTCACTCATGTATGATGGATAAAAGTTCATGGCATAAAATGTTTAGCAACAATGCATTAGATTACAATACAGTTGTCAACAAATGCATGTAAAAAATGACTACGTACTACTACTACTGCAGTAATAGGCACGAGTAATTATTGCATTGAAATTGTACGTAGGCACGGCATGTACTGTTTGTTGTATTAGCTGTCGTTTGATTGTTTTCTGTGAGTTGTGGCTACATGGCACGGAAACAGATCAATGGAATACAAAATGATCTAAATAACCAGTATACATTGATATTAGAAAGAATATGCAAAGTTAGACAATTATTTATCAATTAAACGCAGATGGCGGAACTTGTTTTTGTGTAATTTATTGCTGAAATAATTAGATTATCGTGTAGGTATACGGCCAGAGGTTGTGGGTGCAAGGTGCAAGCGGAGTAATATACCTCGGCCTTAAGCAGAAGAAGGAACGGGGTGGTTTTAAGAGTCTGCCAATCGCTCTAGCCTGATTTCTATGGAAATTGACATTCAATACTTGTTGGGTAAATAAGTGTAGATTTTAACTTCAATTACAACGAAGAAACATTGCTTTTATATTTGTTTTACTTGGATATATAAGTATAAATGTTAATTGCAATAATTATTACCAAAAGAAGATTGTTTTAAGTTTAATTATTAAAGGAATCTTCAAACTGTAACATGTGTTTTGAAAGTCCTGAGATTTTAAGATATTTGAAAAATCCCACCCAAAGCAATAAAATAAATTTGATTGTTTCACCTTAAAAAAATTCATGTACCTATATTCTAATACTATTATTATTTACTTAAGTACAATCACGTGTAAAAATACAGAATATACAAACTGGCCAGAAGGACGAGACGCGGCAGTACTACACTTATTTTTACACGTGACATCCCAGCCTGTCCCAATATTGACGTTTGAGTAACGTTCAATGATCTTCTATTTTTAATTTATGTAATGACGTAATGTCAGCTCTGTACGCAAAAACATTGTCTATTCTCTGTAAACTATCGACTACAAACAGTGGTGTGTTCAAACGCAAAGATCAACAAAATAAACTCTGTGCTTAGTTATATGAGAAATCATGGTCAAGAGTTTAGTTACAGTACAAAGGTTACACATTCATTAATGTTTTAGCCTATGCTGATTTATGTAAGTTCACCCTCATCAGACGATGGACGTCGCCTGATAAACAAAGACCTTGCTTAGTCCTCACGAACAACTCGCAACTTGCGTAGTTGCGTCCATTGGTCTCCCGCGATTCTGACGATGTCGTCGGTCTAACCGTCGTGACGTCGTTTACCATAGCCCCCAAGGTGCCTGCCAAGCGTTAGGATTATGGCAATTTACATAGACACTTCAATTAAGTATAACCGCTAACCATAAATTATTTGTCTTACTAATATGTATTAACAATCTTACTGCTTTTAAAAACGATTGAGATTGGCTTAGAGGTACCTGAGATTCTTAGTCCAAAACGGTTTTTTTTTTTTTTGTGAGGGGAAAATCATCAAATGACTTCTCCCGCCCAGGGCCGGGCAGGAGGGAGTGTCAGACTCTTACTGACTAAAAACCCCCCTGTTCCTTCTCCTGCTCTGTGCCGAGGTCGCGGTACCTCATTGCGCTTACCCCGCAACCCCAGCTGAACATCAGCCCTTTAGGGCCCCGTCTGTGGTGGTCTATTGGCTCTTTGAGGCGCGCGCGGAACGCTACGCGCCGTACGCTCGGGCCTGGTTCTGGTCGGGCGGCGAGCTGCCCTTACTCGCCGACCGCAGGCCCGTACTTACGGTGGCCGGAGATCGTCCCTCGATCCCCGACGCCCGTAGTGTCGCCAGTTGCGGCTGCTGGGGCGTGAGGAGGAGGATTGCTCCCTCACGCGGGCCGCCTCTCTCTTTGCGAGCATGACTGCTTCACAAAAGGAGGAGACGGCGTCCCAGTTCCTCTCACTCCGCACCATGGCCTCGACTAAGGCCGGGCGCGAGAGGTCGCCGCCGCCGATCACTTCCCTGAGGATACGGCGGTGCTCAGCCCAGGCAGGGCATACCGCTACCGTATCCTCTAGGTGGTCCTCACAATGACGACACTCGGGCGTTTCCTCCCGCTGAATCCGAAACAGGAACCTACCGAAGCTGCCGTGCCCGGTAAGCACCTGCGTCAGACGGAAGGTGAGGACGCCGTGGCGTCTCTCAAGCCACTCCTCAAAGAGGGGTCTTACCGCTGCTATGGTAGCGTGCCCGACGACACGCTGAGTTGCCAATTCCGTTAACACTTTATAATGTAAATGAAATAATAAATATATCTTTTACTATCATTCTATTACATCTATTTACTACATCTATTTGTTACTATCATGAAAGCAAATTGATACTTATATTAAAGATACCGCTAGTTCTCACGCAAGTTTACAATTTATTTGAAAATATTCCATTACCTATATCTTACGATAACAAAACTCCTAATACCTATATTCTAATTGCTCCAAATAAACAGTTCTTGGCAATATCATTAGATCGTCTATTTTACTCTCAATTTGACAGTGTCAGTGAGTGTAAAATGATCAAAGATAAGTGTTTTGTGTGTGCACTAAGCAATATGTATTCAACGATTGCGAGTCCTTCTTGTGAGACTATTCTACTAACAGATGTTATCGACAAATTACCGAAATCTTGCCAAACTAGGATTCTACGTGGTAATGTAGACTTATTTCATAAAATATCTAATAACCGTTGGATTTACGTGCAGTCGGAACCTAATAAATGTCATATTATATGTACTGGTGATCCCAGTGACCACGTCGAAATCTTGTTAGGCACAGGAACATTGCATATCCTTAAATATTGTAAAGCTTTTTATAAAACTCTAACTTTTATACCAAGTGACAGCATCACTTCAAATTTAACAACTACTATATCCAACTTCAATATATTAAATGATGACTGTTGCGATAATTTTAAGATGAACAAGTCATTACACCAGGTTCCTCTTGTAAAATTAAAAGAGTTTAATAGCTTTGATTCATTATTAAAAGCAAGTGTCCATCTCGACGATTTTGAAAAACAATTAAACAAAATTGAAGACCCTTCTCACTTAGATAAATATGGCACTCATTATATTTCACTGACATATGCACTGTCCCTAGTGTTTCTCATATATTTACTGTTCAAAGTTCGTAGATATTTATTACCTAAGCCTTCAACTTGTTGTATAAAAATCTATAATAAAAATGTCACCAAATCTAAACCACATGTTACTACTAATGTTGCGTATACTTCAGACTCTTCGGAAGCCGAATTTGATAATGTCTCAATCAAATCTTTACCGGTTCCGATCAAACGCAATCATATGAAATGAAATTATATTTTATTTATTAAGATAGTTATAAATCTTTTTTTTTCTATATTGTAGTACTTAGGTATAGCCTATGTTATTATAAGATCCTATTAAGATAAACATTAAATTTTTAAACTTATATTCTTATATTCCGATAATCTAATAGTACTACACTACTACTATAGCCTTAAATGTAAACTATATCAAATGTTAAGTTAAGTTAAAATATTGTAATGTCCACATCGAAGTTTTTATAAATTTCTCATCACTTTCTCTCGTGATGCTCAATCTTATCGGGGGGGTTGTTATAATATCTGATTACAACATGGTCAATATAAAGCAAACTGCTGACCAACCCCATTTGTTTACTTCGTTTCTAAGTAATGACGTAAATCAAAAGTCTCGTCAGCATTTCCGTTAGCACAGAAAAGTAGATCGGTTTGAAACCTCGTTGTGGACACATATCTAAAACGTGTATTTTCTTATAATTAAATTACTATTTTCCAGTTCAGTAAAAGTGTTCTTTTTTAAAAAGTCTCCATCATCCCGCCCCGTAACAGTTCCGTAGTAAAGGAAAAAATGAATTGTAAAATAAAACAAGTAGAACTACGATACTTACTACATTACACAAGATAATAACTTCAGCCCCGCCCTTAGCGCTTCCTGATCTGGCGAAGTACCGGACGATCTGTGCCTTAGTAGGGACTAATACTAGTAGGGACTTAGTAGGGACTAATAGACTAAAATAATAAGGACTCGGTGTCACCAAAAACTAAGTTGAGAAAGACCAAGAGACAATAGTTGTTTAAATGCCCTCAAAATGACTTAAAGTTTAACTCACGTTGGAAGGGATCAATTCTCAGATTTTTTCTGGCCTCTAGCTCGGCATCGCAATCTTCTGTCTTTGTCCTTATAATGCGAAGGTCGTTGAATACAAACGTATTATTCCCTGGATGGACCTTTACGTCTCTTGAGAACACTTTTGATTGACAACCACTGCCCATCAGAGTGTTAGGATGAGCTCTGTGTTAAAATAAAACTATATGTTACATGGAGCCTCCTTTAGTACATGGAAAAAGTAATTTTGAAAATACGCAAGTTACTTACAAGATACTTCGGCTCGTAGATAATTATAATTATAACTTCCCTGGTTTTATTTATACCTACTTATAGATAATATTAATTATTTTTAATACATAACCAAAGTAGGTACATAGGTACCTAGTTAATTGTATTTAAATAATAAGTATTATGTCGATGAATTGATTTGAGAAAAGCTAATAGAAAATTGACGTGATCAGATTACTGTAAAAAAATAGTAACAAAGAAAGACAAAGGCACATCTATATAAAGGGGAATATCATCGTCTGCAAGCTTGACTCGGGGAATTTTAAGTAACTTAATGTAACAAGTCATCGCCAGTCTTAACATAAAGCGAGTAAAGAACGGACGTGTCTTACTGCTTGAGACTACTAGTTAAGTACCTACCTCCTACTTAAGTATAAACATACAGTTGCATCGTACATTTACCTAAATGGTTCGTTGGCTGTAACTGGTGAAATGGTGATGCGTGCTCTGTCATGGTTCTGTACATTGTGTATCACGAGCGTCGGGAATGTAATGTTGACACCGTCATCGCCGTCAGTGGAAGTTTCACCTTGAAGCACGGTCGGTTTAGTCGATTCGTCTTCGTAACGGAATCTGTCAACATCAACGAGCAAATGCAGTTAGGTAACAGTTATAGCTTTAAGAAGTACCTAGTAATAATTTTTAGCTAACTTTAATAACGTAGTGAGTTAATGTGAACTATACATATTTTATAACAATGCATAAAAGTGTTTGTGATATTGAAGTGATAACTAATGTAATAAAAAATATAACATGTATTATTATCTAGTTATAACTTAAATTGCTGCGCCCTAACAGGGTAATGTACTGTACTGGATGTATGTTATACTTGACATTATATGTACATTGTGCAATATGAATAAATAAATAAATAAATAAATAAATAAATAAATAAATAAATAAATAAATAAATAAATAAATAAATAAATAAATTCTCCTTAGCAGAAGTTTCCCTACTCAAGAAGCGGCCAAAAAATGTGCATTTCTATATACATAATCAAATGAACTAGAAAATGAAAGACTAAACCATCAATACCCAAAAATGGAGTTAGGTATGAATGCGACTGTCTTTCTACCACTTTTTGCGTTGTCATTGCCCCAAGCACCAGTTAGATTACGCAGCTGAATAAGTCAAGAGATTAAGAAGATGCAAGGTTAGAGTAAGTACACAAATACAAAAACATTATTGCAAAAACTTGTTATTTTTACTAATGAATCGGGTTCGCCCTGAATTATAAAAGTTCACCTAAATAGCATCGAGATAATGATAAGGATGACCTGAGATAAATCTGTACCCGCACATAGTAGCAACATATATTTAGATGCTCACCAACAAAAGTAATGTTTACAAATGTTGTGATAATTATTTTGTTTTTATTATAACTTTCGTGAGACATTCTAAATTATTTATTATGTTTTCGGCTTACTCACGTAATAATTTGACGAGATACTCGACTAGTTTCAAGCCATGCTAGAGGCCCATATTCATGAGCAGTATTCCGCGACACGCGAATCGGCGACTGTCGCGCTGCTACTGGCTACTCGAGTCTAGTCTAGAGTCCTCTAGCATCGCTTGAAACTAGTCGAGTATCTCGTCAAATTATTACGTGAGTAAGCCGAAAACATAATAAATAATGATTTTGTTGTTTCAGACTATTTGTATTTACTTACTTACCTTTAGATTAATATGTATAGGTACCTATGGTAATATATACCTACCTACCAATGTAGATCACGCAACATCACTAAATATTCTGATAAACTATAGTGAATGCACCTTGTTAATGATACCAAGTTTAACTAAAATAGTTTACCTTTTATACTTCTTTGGTTGCACTAAAATACTAAGAAACGGTTCGTCAGTATTGGTCCACGCTCTGCTCGTTGAGGCCACTGGTTCAGCCGCGCTGAGGAACATAAAGGCATGTGTCACATTTGGTTTCCAGTGACGTGAAAACACATAGGTAATTTCACAATCGCGCCAAGACACAAATAACAACACATCACTCGATGTGGGTCCTATGCCATGGTACAGCCACGGGTCGATGACAAAGTATTACTTATTTGAATCAATATAATATTTGATCCCTCACTAAGATTTCCTGTGGTATCGTGACCGAGTTGCCAAAAATAGTAATTTACATACACGTCTACGCTTTTTTAGAATAGGAGCACACTGACCACCTGATACCTACAACATCGAGGAGTTACATAACAGTAGGTAGTAGAATTAGGTAGGTACCTACCTATCTATTTGTTAATTTTTCTTTTTAAAAAACTTATATATCTCTACTCTGCTAAGAAGGGCATTCTGCTAAAAGAAGGTTAATAGTTTTAGAAATAAGACTTACCGATAACTTTGACTGCCCTCCTGGTAACTCACAGATCTTCGGGTTGGGCCCGGCCGCGACATGTTGTTGCCAAGAGATTGATACTTCAAAGAACCTACTTCCCAATTCCTCGCCTTCGTGAAGAGGAAATAAAAGCCTGATTAGAAAAAAATCACCACAAATTATATGTTACTAATACATTGATGAACGTAGACTAGACAAACACTATTAAAATAACTATCGGTATATTTTGTTGACTGACGACATCCGCAGGGTGGCTGGCAGTACTTGGATGAGAAGACCTGAACATTGAGCTCAGTGGCGTGCAATTGGGGAGGCCTATATCCAGCAGTGGACGACATCAGGCTTCTGATAATATTTTCTTGTATCAAGAGTAGTAGCAGAGTGCTCTGCATTGCTAATTAGGTTCCAGTAATGAGTATAACTAATAAATCTAATTTAAAGAGGGTATCCGGGATAGGTACATATATTTTTAATACTCAAACTCCGAAATTCCGATTAACATTCAGATTACTTGGTGGTAAGCAAACAACGCCGTCCATGGACACCAGCAACAACGGAAGAGTTACGAGTGCGTTGCCGACGAAGATTTAGAGATTTTGGGATTAGAGAAGGGGAAGGATTGGGCCTCAGGTAACACATCATCATGGCTCATACGGCGAAACACAACGCTGTGCTTTTTCACGACGGGTTTCTGTGAGGCCGTGGTATCACTCCGGTGTACCTACTATTTAATACTTTATTTATTTAGGTAAGTAATATTTTAGTAGGCTATTACTGAGAATTTTTCTAACTTAATTTTTTTATCAGTGTCTTTATTTTGAACTTGTGTGTGTCGAAGGTTAACTGATAAGTGATAAGGGACGGAGTTACGGAAGAACTCGTGTTTTGCTCGCAATTTTAAGTTACTAACCACAGCTGCACTTTCTGAAGCTGAAGACACCTTCCAATTTTTACAATGCCCAGTAGACCTAGATCGATATCGTGAACCGGGGTAAATAACTACAGAAGAGGGGTGAATCGATGTTGAGAAATTGTTCTAGTATCGATTCACCCCTTTTATTCAGGGGAGAAAGCAAGGGCCAAAGTACATTATTGTACTTGCTCTAGTGCTAGTCTAGCGGCGAGCTTCCCTTGCTTGCCGTCCGCAGACTCCCACTTACGGTGACCGAAGATCGTCGCGCAGACCTTGACGTCCGGAATATCTCCTCCGGTGGAGGATGGGGCGTGAGGAGGACAGTTCCCGCACACGCTTCTTTTTTGCGAGCAAGATTGCTTTTCAGAAAGAGAAGACGGCTACCCCGTACCTCCACGGCTTCACGAGAGGTCGCCGCCGATCACTTCCCTGAGGACTGTGTAACACCAGCATGTCGTCAGCACAATAAACCTCACTGACGAGGCACGGGAGGTCGGTACGTATTACCCAATCGGACCCGATGATCCACAGGAACGGTCCTAGGATCGATCCTTGTTGATCACCGAGTGACATCTCTCGCCGGTTTTACATGCCTCGGTGACTGGAGTCAATGAGGGACCTATTTATCAGACTGCACAACGAAGGGAGGCTCAGTCCCCGGTGATACCGCAGTGCTTTCGTGCTTTGCTCACGCGCTTAATAACGTCCACCGCGGAGCGCTGTCTGCGAAAGCCGAATTTGCCATTTGGCAGATCAGGCCTCCTTCTGATGATAGATGCGCTACGAGACGGTTCAAAATTATGTTTTCCAAGAATTTGCCCACCTTGTCGAGCAGCACAATGAAGGACTTCTTCACGAAGTTTACCTGTCAAACCATACTAAAAAGCATAGGCACTCAGAGAGTCAACAACACCATAGATGGGGCCTGTTAAGAGCGACGTCCAACCTTTGTAATTTAGACACATTCAGCGGGAAATCCAATGGTATATGTCATGGTGGCCTGGAGGTTAAGGCCCGTATCTCATGCAAGAAAATGAAAGCCGTTTTTTTTAATTCCATGTTAATAGGTAGAGTGCGTCTATAAGATTGTTTCGATACCTCTGACAAACAACATAGGAAAACATAATAAAGAAAACAGGACGTAGGTGGGTATAATTTCTTATAAAGTAGAAAGTAGAGTTTAAAATCTACGAACCGCCATTTTGTCATAATGAAGTACCTATCTAAGAACGTTCCTACTACTTGATAATTGTTTTGACGGAATCTCATTATAAGTATATTCAGGCTTACAGTTGATTTGTGGTTGGAAATGTTGACATTGGGCATCCTTTGTTTTTAGTCGCTTGCCATAATTATAGAGAGATAAAAACGGTAGGTATCAAATAATAAAAGGTCATTTATTACGCATAGATAAATTGATAGCGAAGTTATACGTACATTACAGACTGCCTCTTTAGTTGAAAAAGTGCTAATAATTGGATTTAGTTAGCACTAGTGGATAAATATCCATGGTATAGAACAAATTGTCAAAATTTAGGAGACCATGCACATCACGCAAATCCCTCTTACGGTGAAAATTAATTAGTTATGTCGAGTGTATCTACCCATCTAAGTGTAGGCAACTCGACTATTTTAAAGCGAAACTAGGGGCTCATATCATTCTGCTTAGCTTGAAAGTCTTGAAACGAATCATCTAGGTTGTCTCAGTCTTTCAGTAGTTGTTATTTAGAGTATCCAATTATAGTTTTTAATAGGTACCTAAAAAATTACCAACCAAACTAAAACTCTACTTATCGCAAACTAATACTACTACATAACACCGGAAATCGCTTGTTGTTAGCCGTAAATGGTCACTATGGCTTTATCATCATTATACTGTCTAGATACCTAGATAATTTGAAAAATGACTATTGGATAATATATGTAAACAATGAACATAAAATTAGTACCTACCTTATTAAAATAGATTAGATGCGATGAACATAATAAAAGCAAATAATAAATGCTATATACCTACTTAAGGCCGGCTTCAGGTAATTTATTCTAGATTTACAAATCTAATTTACAAAGCACCTCACTTCGAGACCTCACGTTCACAAGAAATAAACTTTCATTAGCGCACAAAACGTTCAGTTGACCACAACACAATGAATTATTACTTTTAACCGTTGTTTGTCACAACCAAGAAATAATAGCATGAACACTCAAAAATAAAACTTAAATTACAAGTAAAAGAACTTAATACTGTGATAGACCACCGGCTGATAGTCCAACTTAAACAGTGATGGGAGAGTACGCAAATTAATCTGTTTTAAATACGCGCTGGTCCAGTGACGAAACTACTGATAACACCCTATTGCTACACACACTACTGTAAAAAATTAAATCTCGCCGTCTTCTTGATTCTGTGTTATCTTTTTAATAAATGTCTAGTTTTCTTGATATACTTAACAAGAAAGATGCAGAAATAAATAGGTACCTACATTTGTCAAAATTCTGATTATGTACTTATTAGGTACTTTTGTACATTTGTAATTTTCTCTGCTTATTTTGGCAGTCGCAGAATCATGCGACTGTTTTGGCAAATCATAATAATAGTAGACATGTATAGTTTGTAAAGATACGAGTGCGAGGGAAGGCAGATAGATCCTTGTTATGTAGTAGAGCGATTGCAGCAGTGGTCGGATAAAAATGAAAAAGAATAAATAAAGAAATATAGATACTTACTCAAATTATTACTTCAAAAACATTACGCTAATAATAGCTTTTATTATCGTTTTCATGTATTGTTTAATTGATCAAAAGTTGTGTTTATCTTCTTAAGCTCCTAAACAAATACCTAATATGCATATTCAAAGAGTACCTAGGTATATAAACACTACGTTCTATCTGTGCATATTAGTTACTTGACAAATATATAATATTACATTCATTGCAAGTTTAATTAGTCTACAAAAATTGAAAAGGTTTTATTAAAGGTTTGGCTGACAATAAATCATAAAGAATGATACATTTTTAAATTTCGAATTGGCGCCTTTTTCATGACGATCGCAGATGTGTTTGTGTTTTGTTAAATTAAATGTGCGTCACGTAAGTATTTCACATTTCGTTAAAATAAATAACAATAATATTGTATACACGATTGAAGAAAATTTTCGGTCATAATGCCAAGGCTCGTGGACTTTTATCGGTACGTGACCATATATTACCTACTTATATAATTATGTATTTAGGTATTACAGTTGTTTCAAATAGTTTTTACATTTTATAATTAGGTAAGTGTTGCCTCTCATAACATGTACTTAGGTAATTCTCTGTTGTCTCTTCCGTCGGCATTAATACTTGCATAATGTGTGTCTAAATATTACGATTGAAAGATAAATCACAAGTCAGACACCTATCTTCAGCTAGACCAGCTGGTATGTCTTGTGGCGGAGGTTATGAAGAGATTTATGCATTTACGCGCCGCTGATTCTGATGAAGACTTATCAAAGATTTTCAATAAACTAACCTTGACATAGGTACTACGTACAAGCAAGGTAATAATATCTACAAGTATTTCAACTTCATAGAAACGGCCGAAACGCGAACTATACCTACGCGCCCGATGTCGGGACGCGCTCGGGACGCAGACAGACGCGGCTGTACCGCAGTGACGAACGGACGGTGTGTTGTCTTTTATTTAGAAAACAGCTCGAGTACATTATTTAATATGACGAATAGGAAATATTGTGCTGTTATTATGTTTGGTTGCATGAATTCGTCAATAACGCATCCAGACATAAGTTTTTTTTAAATTACCTGGAAACTCTGAAAGGTAAGACTATAAAATAATTTTGCTTACTAGTAGCCTAGGTAGGTACATAATGTGTGTCTTTATGGATCATTATTTCCAGTTATCTCACGAAAACAGATGTTTGAATTTATAAATAATATGAATAAAGTTATTGAGACGAGTGAAATAGGTAGTTATAGGCGGTTCTGGTTCTGAAAGAATCATGATACGTTAGGTACCTACCTACTTACGCTTGTGTTAAAACGGTTCATGTATGTTTTGTTAGTTTGTATAATTCAAAGTAGAGAGTGTGGTATTTTATTAATAATAATATTTGTTTATTATCTGCGTTTATGAATAATACTAGAAAA